ATGCTGACTGGGGAATTCTGGGAGTTGAAGTCCATCCACGCTGACAGGAATTTTAGGTGAAGTCCATCCATGCTGACTGGGGAATTCTGGGAGTTGAAGTCCATCCACGCTGACAGGAATTTTAGGTGAAGTCCATCCATGCTGACTGGGGAATTCTGGGAGTTGAAGTCCATCCACGCTGACAGGAATTTTAGGTGAAATCCATCCATGCTGACTGGGGAATTCTGGGAGTTGAAGTCCACAAGTCATACAAGGGCCAAGTTTGAAGACCCCTGGCTTAAACGCTCCCCTTTGACCACAAACATTGTATATATTTAGGAATATACGGAGGAATTTAAATACAGGGAGTCCTTGATTTATGACCACAATTGAGTCTAATGTTTCTGTTGCTAAGTGAGACAGTGAAGTCAATCTTACTATTTATGTGAAATAGATAATCGGAAAACTGCCCCAAACCAAAATGAGTCTTTGGCATGCTTAAATAATTTCGCAGTCACTCCAATTAACATTACAAATATTTTTACTTTTATTTATAAAGGAAATATGTCTTAATTGGCGGCATCAACTCAATTATAATCTCATATATAACTTCATCATTTAATAGGGCTGGAGGTTGTAAATGGAGACGAACTTTTTTAAAAAATCTTTGGCAGGAGTGCGATGAAATAATCAGAATTTTGGCTTAAAAGACATATTTTACATCACTAAATTCGAGGTTCGGATCTCTCCAAAATTAAAGTAGCTGTCTGTATTTGAGCTAAAGATAAGACAATCCTTATTGTTTACTTTTTTCTGTGAACACACTGGCACACAGTAAAAAATGAGATTTTTGATGCCCGGTCTCAAAATATAAAATATATATACATCCATACACATACACGCACACATACACACACATATATGCGCTATACACACACAAACACACACACACACATATATTAATCACTGTCCATCTTAAATACATAACGGAAGGAGGAAGCTTGAAAGTTCACAAGGTTAATATTGTATGGAACTAAACTGTGACTGAATCTGGATGCTCTGCTTCGGGTACCACGGAGCCGTGAAGAGGATGTGTAGTGTTCCACACAATCTTGTGGACCCTGCTCAAGTGTCACTTATGTGCCATGTCCTGGATAAAAGGAACTGAACGTCCAATATTTTTTTCTGCTGTCCTCACCACTCTCTGCACCGCCTTCCTGTCTGAAGCAGGGATGCCTCCAAACCAGACTGTGATGCCGTATGACAGGATGCCCTCGATCGTCCCTCTGTAGCAGTGGTTCTCAACCTGTGGGTCGGGACCCCATTTGGGGTCGATCGACCATTTCATGGGGGTCGCCAAGCAAGGCTGTCCGCCATTTTTTTGTCCGCCATTTTTTTCCCCCTTTTCCGGCGGGTGCCTTACCTCCCTTGGGCTGGGCCAGCTGGTGGTCGGCCTGCTCCGTCTCTGCCGCTGGCCAGCTACGCCTCAGCCGGCGCAGGGGGCGGAACCACGCATGCACGGCGCTCCCGGGCAGGGAAAGTCCTCGACTTACGACCGGTTGGGTAGTCCTCGACTTACGACCGGTTTAGTCCTCGACTTACGACCGGTTTAGTCCTCGACTTACGACTGGTTTAGTCCTCGACTTACGACTGGTTGGGGTCGCGGCATTAAAAAGGTTGAGAACCACTGCTCTGTAGAAAGTGGTCAGGATAGGGGAAGGAAGATGTACTTTTCTCATGCAACACAGAAAATGCAGGCGCGGTTGTGCCCGCTTCACCAGCGTCTCGCTGGCCTACTTGTTAGCTGCACCCCCAGAAACGTGATGCTGCTAACCACCTCCACAGTTGAATTGTCAATACACAGAGGTGTGTGGCTGTCCCTGCCTTTTCTGAAATTGACAATGATCTTTTTTGTGTTTCCTACAGGCTGTTTTTATTACACCAGTTCATCAAACCCTCTATCTCCTTCTGATAAATCACCCTCTTTGCCATCCTGAATAAGGCCCAACTACGGTTGTGTCATCCGCGTATTTCACAATATGGTTGGTGGCAAACCTTGTACAACGGTCATGAGTCAACAGAGTGAACAACAGCGGACTTCTGAGACAGCCCGTGCTCAAGAACATGGTGTTCGAAATATTAACCCCACCTCGCACGCCCTGGGGCCTATCCGTGAGAAAATCAAGGATCCAGTTGCACAAAGGAGTACTGAAGCCTAAACGGACCAGTTTTATCAACTTAATGCTGAGGACTGATTGTATTAAATGCTGAACTGAAGTTGACAAACGGCATTCACACACGAGTGTTCCTTTCCTCTAAGTGCGCCAAGCTCAGACGGAAAACAGAAAGAATAGCATTCTCTGTCGAGCGATTTGGATGGTAAGCTAACTGAAGCGAGTCAAATGCTGGACGGAGGCTGGATACAATAAGGTCCTTTATCAGCCACTCAAACTATTTTATCATGATCGACGTAAGTGCAAGCGGAGGATAATAATTAAACCCGTGATTGTAGACTTTTTTTGGCACTGGCAAAATAATGGCCGTCTTAAAAAGGCCAGATCCTGAAGTTGAAACTCAAGTACTTTGGCCACCTAATGAGAAGGAAGGACTCACTGGAGAAGGGCCTAATGCTGGATGGAGTCCCTGAAGCAGGAGGCGTGAACTTAAATGGACTCCAGAAGATGGTAGAGGACAGGAAGGCCTGGAGGAACGTTGTCCAGGGGGTCGCGATGGGTCGGACACGACTTCGCAATTAACAACAACAACAAAAACACGATGGAACCACTGCCTGCTGCAATGAAAGATTGAAAATATCCGTTTGCACACTCATTTGCACACTAAAAACACACCCGAGGGATATTCTCCGGGCCTGCTGCTTTTACCAATGTTCACACCAGAGTCCCTCAATCTTTCCAGCTTTGTGGACTGGCAGGGTGGGTGAGGGGACAGTTGTGTACAAGTGGTGGGTAAGCACGCGCATGCAGCTTCATTTCCACAAGTGGTGGGCAAATGGACCACGTGTGCCCAAGCTTGTCAGCTTCTTGCACAAGTAGGGACGCGTGTGTGGGTGCTTGCCCGCCACTTCTGCGGCCCGGTTCCAAACGGCGTCAGTTGGTCACTTCCCTGTGGCAAAAGCTGCCATTACCCTCTGCCTCCATCGCCCAAAACGCTGGACACAGCGTCGACTCCACTTCCCTCTCTCCCTGCAGGCACTTTCAGAGATTCCAGCCGATGTCAGACCCTATGCATAACCCACAACATTTGTGCTGCTGGCACTTTCAATCGAAGCGATCCGAAGCAAGGCAGACTGTCCAGAATAGCTTCATCAACAGAGGAACTATTGACAAATAACTCCAAATCCAATATGGACTGGCGGGTCATAAACCAGTTTAGTATTACAATTCCGCTTTCTTGTGGCAGTTCCCCTAGAATGCCTCAAGCCGGATGTCAATTTCACCTCCAAAATCTCAACACCCTTGAGAACTAAAGCCGCCACAGTCAAGCAAGGCACCGCCATTTTGGAAGTGGAATGGGGATAACATTTAAATGGAAAATGGCAGGATGACATTTCGTGTATACCGACAGTCCTTGACTTACAACTCTAATAGGCAATTATGGACAGAAGATGGGATGGTTAAGTGGGTCGTCATGTCACCCTGACCGATTTTATGACGTATGCGGCGGTCCTTAAGCGAACTTCATGATTGTAAAGCAAACGCTCCAGTCATGATGCAAATCTACGAGGCGTTTCTGGCCAGAAAGCAGAACTAAATTATGCTTTTATAATCCACATAGTACATTTATATACTACTAGCTGTACCCGGCCACGTGTTGCTGTGGCTCAGTCTGGTAAAAGTGTGTGTTGCTTTTACGTCGAACAGATGGCGCTGTTTTTCAAAAAAATCATGTTTTTACCTGTCACAGGTGTGACATCTATATAATATAGGTATATATAAACACGCGCGTATTCGAATGCAACGTTGTGTCAAAATTTCAAAGCAATCGGTGAAGAACTTTCGGAGATTTAAGATTTTGAACAAACGAACATTTACATTTTTATTTATATAGATAATCCATAATCCACATAGTACATTTAGTTGATTTCCCCTTTTCCCCAAAATGTCTTCTTTGCAAACCTTGAAATAATACAGTTCTTATTATTTTGATAAATAACAGTTACATATAGGAATTCCCCCAATTATTCCTAGAAATAATGATCACATCAATATAATGTTTCTTTTCTATCGAGTCGTTTTGGTTTAAGTTCTTTTTACAAATAAGGCAAAGTAGCAGATTCCAATGAGAACAGGAACTTTTGGGGTTCCCAAATTCCAAACAGCAGACAGGTATCCAATTGTGGTAAGTTAATCTTTCTCAAAGCTTTATTTCCTCTGTGTAAGCAAGAGCCGCCATTTTAGGGTGGGGTGATGGAGTTCCCTCTCTCCTCAGAAGGGGATAGATTTTCAAAATGCTTTTAACAGGGAAAGTACTTGGAGTAGAGAGAAAGTAAAATCTCACCCAGTTTTCCACGATTCTTTCAAGTGCTTGGTAGTAAGTTTGGCCTCGGCTGTCGGCGGCTTAACGGGGAACACGTTCTTCATGAGCTCCTCCTGAGTGAAGATGGAGAAGGCGATCTCCTCGTATTCCTTGGACTCTCCACGCTCAAATATGCAAGCGAACGTGGGCGATTCCCCATCGTCACACACAGCCAGATCCGAGTAGCCACTGGGTCCTTTATGGAGGATCCAAGGGGACAGCCAGCTGCTCTGCTCCATCGGAGAAGGATTCAGGTAGATCCCCAGATCCTTTCGCTTCTTCCTGCTGGTGGGATGGCAGAACATCAACCACGTGTGGTTGGAACGCCCGGGTGAAGCAGAAGATGGAGACGCGTCCATCGGAGATCTTGACCCACCTGGGTCCTCCTTTTGGCCCCGATCTGAGGGAAAGAAACTCACGACGCTTCCTTGACACCCAAGGGGCTGTTCGCTCAGTTGCGTGCAGAGGGCATAATCCGTGAAGCGGTGTCCATCATCCATGCAGTAGGCCACAGCTCGAAATTTGTGCAAACTTCGGGCATTACAATATAACACCTTCCTGTTGTCCTGGCAGGTCACCTCGGCCACCTGGCACTCGGTGGTCTTCAGGGATTTGTTGAGCTCGCTCCGACGCCACGTCTGCCCACCGTCGCTGCTGTAGAAACTGAAGCAATGGGGCTTGACCCACCACGGGAAGGACAAGCCAAACCACGACTTGTAGACGCAGTAGGCGTAGGCTGGGATCACCAGGTCTCCCGAACTCCGCTGCACCCCGTGGCCTGGTCCCACCGCGAAGGTAGCCCACTGGCTCGCCTCAGCGTCACCCATCAGCTCCTCGGTCAGATCGGTCATCGTGCTCCAGTTGCGGCTACCATCGTGACTGGTGATGTAGCCCAGTCGGACGGCGTTTCTCCGCCCCCAAAGCTGACGTTGTTCCGAAACATCGGCCTTCACGCAGATGAAGAAGAGGAATATCACGCCGTTGTTCTTGTCGTAAACCGGGCAGGGGTTCATGGTGCGATGGTTGGGCATTCCAGCTGTCTTCAACCGCACGGGATGGTCCCACTAGGAGACGGAGGGTCAAAATAAGTCTGAATTAAGGACTGGGCGTGTCTTGTTTGATGGAGAGAAGGACCGGGGGTGACATGATAGCAGAGTTCCAATATTTGAGGGGCTGCCCTCAAAGAAAAGAGGGTCCACCTCTTCTCCAAAGCGCCTGAAGGCAGGTCAAGAAGCAACGGATGGAAGCTGACCAAGGAGAGAAGCAACCTGGAATTAAGGAGAAACTTCCTGACAGTGAGGACAATTAACCAGTGGAATGGCTTGCCACCAGAAGTTGCGGGTGCTTCATCGCTGGAGGCTTTTGAGAAGAGACTGGACAGCCATTTGTCAGAAATGGGAGCATTTCCTGCTTGAGCAGGGGCAAAACTCATATAATGTCTTGATTTAGCAATGGAAATTTTGGGCTCAGTTTTCGTCATAAGCTGAGGACTCCCTTAGACTGTCTATCACCACGAGTGATGCTTCCTCGCTATACTATAGATCAGGAAGATGGCTGAGGAATTCTGGGAGTTGAAGTCCACAAGTCTTAAAGTGGCCATGATTGAGGACCCCTGCTCTAAATGAATTAAATCCCAGTCTAATCTTGCTTTCTCCTGAGGGCGGCCTCCAAATACATCCAAACCCACAACTCCTGAACATCATGGGCAATTCTGGCTGGGAATTATGGGAGTTATCATCACCACACCTCTGAAGGAGATCTTGGGCCGAACCTTATGCTTGGGATTGGTGTAGGCCCTGTTTACCTTGGCCATTTCCAGGCGTGGGGACTTCAACTCCCAGAATTCTCCTCAATGTCCACAGTGGCTGAGGAATTCTGGGAGTTGAAGTCCACAAGTCATCAAAGGGCCAAGTTGGAAGGCCCCTGGACTTCAACTCCCAGAATTCCTCAGCTAGGCACGCTGGCTGAGGAATTCTGGGAGTTGAAGTCCACAAGTCATCAAAGGGCCAAGTTGGAAGACCCCCTGGACTTCAACTCCCAGAATTCCTCAGCTAGGCACGCTGGCTGAGGAATTCTGGGAGTTGAAGTCCACGAGTCTTAAAGTTGCCAAGGTTGAAGACTCCTGCTGTAGATAATCTTGTTGGGTTTTGCTGCTAGCGAAGTGCTAGAAAAAGGTTATATTTTTAATTTTGGAGGCTAACTAGCTCGCTGGGAATGCGCGTGCCGTTTATTTTTGGCTGAACTTGAAACACAACTCCACTTACACACCCTTTCCCCAACACCCAACACCGATGGAGTGTTTGTGTCCTGCACACTCAGCTCAAGGGGATGGTGACGATCCACTGATTTGGGGACATGAAAAAGTTATGCTGGTGCTGTGGGAATTCAGTTCTGGACAACGGGGAACCGAAAACGCAACTGCAATTCACTTAAGGGCTTTTGATTCTTGCCTAATTTAGAATAGAATAGAGCTGGAAGGGACCTTGGAGGTCTTCTAGTCCAGCCCCCTGCTTAAGCAGGAGAACCTATACCATCTCAGACAAGTGACTGTCTGGCCTCTTCTTGAAAATCTCCAGTGATGGACTGCCCACGATTTCTGGTGGCAAGCTGTTCCACTGGTTAATTGTCCTCACTGTCAGGAAATTTCTCCTTAATTCCAGGTTTAGAATAGAATAGAATAGAATAGAATAGAATAGAATAGAATAGAATAGAATAGAGCTGGAAGGGACCTTGGAGGTCTTCTAGTCCAGCCCCCTGCTCAAGCAGGAGAACCTCTACCATCTCAGACAGGTGAATGTCTAGTCTCTTTTTAAAAATCTCCAGTGATGGAGCACCCACAACTTCTGGTGGCAAGCTGTTCCACTGGTTAATTGTCCTCACTGTTAGGAACTTTCTCCTTAATTCCAAGTTGCTTCTCTCTTTGATCAGTTTCCAACCCTTGTTTCTCGTCCTTCCTTCTGGTGCTTTGGTGAACAACCTGGCCCCCTCTTCTTTGTGGCAGCCCCTCAAATACTGCAATACTGCTATCATGTCTCCCCTATTTCTTCTTTCCTTTAGACTAGCCAAACCCAAGTCCTGCAGCCATTTTGGGGGAGGGGGAGGGGAAAGGCCAATCAATCAATTCCAACTTCGTATGATCCAGGCCTTGGATCATCTTAGTTGCTCTAAGACAGGGCGGCTAATAATAATAATAACTATTTCTCAGCCCACCACACAGGTTTGTAGTTGTCGTTGTCAGGAAAATAGCAGAAGGAAGGTGTGTTAGGCATCTTTTCCACCTTGAATTATTTGTAAAAATAGCAGAGGCAGGATAAAAATAAATATCCTGTTTTGTGGAAGTCTCTCTGCCAGAACTGCCCTGAAACCTCTAATCTAATTATTATTATTATTATTATTATTATTATTATTATTATTATTATTATTATTAACAATAATAATAATAAAGTTGGAAGGGACCTTGGAGGTCATCTAGTCCAACCCTCTGCTCAGGCAGGAAACCCTATTCCATTTCAGACAAATGGCTGTCGAGTCTCTTCTTAAAAACTTCCAGTGTTGGAGCATTCACCGCTTCTGGAGGCAGGTGGTTCCACTGGTTAATTGTTCTAACTGACAGGAAGTTTCTCCTTAGTTCTAGGTTGCTTCTCTCCTTGGTCGGTTTCCATCCGTTGCTTCTTGTCCTGCCTTCAGGCGCCTTGGAGAAGAGCTTGACTCCCTCTTCTTTGGGGCTGCCCCTGAGATATTGGAAGGCTGCTATCATGTCCCCCCTGGTCCTTCTCTTCATTAAACTACACCAGAGGTAGGCAACCTTGGCTCTTTTATGACTGGTGGACTTCAACTCCCAGAATTCCTGAGCCAGCCATGCTGAGGGGAAAGGGAGATGTTTCCAAGCTGAGCCATGCTGGCTCAGGAATTCTGGGAGTTGAAGTCCACCAGTCATGAAGGGGCCATAGTTCCCCGTGCTGGCTGAGGAATTCTGGGAGTTGAAGTCCCCGAGTCATGAGGGGCCATAGTTCCCCCATGCTGGCTGAGGAATTCTGGGAGTTGAAGTCCCCGAGTCATGAAGGGGCCATAGTTCCCCGTGCTGGCTGAGGAATTCTGGGAGTTGAAGTCCCCGAGTCATGAGGGGCCATAGTTCCCCCATGCTGGCTGAGGAATTCTGGGAGTTGAAGTCCCCGAGTCATGAGGGGCCATAGTTCCCCCATGCTGGCTGAGGAATTCTGGGAGTTGAAGTCCCCGAGTCATGAAGGGGCCATAGTTCCCCGTGCTGGCTGAGGAATTCTGGGAGTTGAAGTCCACCAGTCATGAAGGGGCCAAGGTTGCCTACCCCTGAACTAGACATACCCAATTCCAGCAACCATTAGAATGCAAAGAAAAACAAAAAGAGAGCATACATTTTGTAAATCCTGCCCATCCACAGAAGGGAGAAATACAGATTTAGCTAACAGCTAACAATCTTTTTTTTCTTCTCTTTTTTAAAATAGAATTGTGAAACCATCCAAGTGACCCTGGAAAAAGGACTGACAGTCCTTGGCTTACAACCACCATTAAAGCCAGAACGTGCGTCACTAAGTGAGGCAGTTGTGAAGCGAATCGTGCCCAATTTCGCAACTTCTTTTGCTACAGTCATTAAGCGAATCCCACGTTGTTAAGCAAATCTGGATTCCCCCATTGACTGGGAAGCTGACCGGGAAGATTACAGACACTGTATAGATAGTCCTCGACTTATAACAATTCGCTTCATGGCCGTTCAAAGTTACGACGGCGCTGAAAAAAGCGATTTACGGCCGTCTTTCGCGCTTACAACTGTTGCGGCATTCCCCAGGGTCACGTAATCCAAATTCAGACGCTGGGCAATCTGGTTCATATTTATGATGGTCGCAGCGTCCCGGTGTGTGTGTGTGTATGTGTGTGACGTGATCTCCTTTTGCGACCTTCCGACAAGCACAGTCAACGGGTGACCCGGATTCACTTAATGGCCGTCTTACTAACTGAGCCACGGCGATGATTCACTTAACAGCAAGAAAGGTCCTAAAATGGCGCAGAAGCCCCCTGAACAAGCGCTTCGCTCAGCGAGAGAAATCTTGGGCTCGACTGTGGTTGTAAACCGAGGACTTACCTGGGGACAGATCTGGAGGATTGGGGCTACTTTGGGGCTGCAGGATTACCTTAACGCAGACGCCCTCTCTGTATCCGCGTTTCAGCATCAGGAACCTGGCGTCCTCGTCCCGGGGCGAGGAGCGTTTCTCCACAAAGGCCAGGAAGAGGGAATCCGAAGGCTGGTAGAGCAGAGCTGGGATGCGGTAAGTGGCCCCATACTTTGCCCGGGAGAAAAGGGTCATCGGCACAAGGCCCCGCGGCTCCTTAGCCATCTCCTCTGAAGACGGGAGAATTCCCAGAGGAAGGAAAAAAAGAAGAGAAGAGGAAAAAAAAACACTCATAAGTGCGAGGATTGGAGATATGTCTCTTTTTTCTTGCTGTTGCAACTACGAGCGGTCGCTAAATGCACGGCTGCAAGCCGAGGGCCAGTTGTGACCCACTTACAGGTGGTGGTCAGGCACGGCTAGCTGGTTTAGTTTAGTGAGAATAGAATAAAATAGAATGGAATGAATGGAACAGAACAGAACAGAATAGAAAATAGAAAAATAGGATAGAGAGCTGGACTTTGTAGGAACAACTTCCAGCAAAATTCTAAGGGGGAAGTAGCAGAAAAGAGATCTCCAAACCTAAGCCCTGAATATCTTGCACTGGTAGATTGGGAGTCCTAGGTGTCACAACCTCTGATGGCGTCCGGAAAAGACGGCAAGTCTGCGGGGCAAGTCTCCACCCCCCAGTGAATGGCAAGCCCCGCTCACTATGTGCAATTTAAGAAAATTTAATAGCCTAGTTTGCATACTGGCTAACCTCAATTGGACATCACTAACCTGGGTGAACTGAACTAAGAGCTAAGGCAGGAAACAACCCTTGAAAATGGGTCGTCAGTGGTTATGTACTGATGAAGACCAGGGCTGTGACAAATTTTGAGGCATGTGCTTCAAAACCTGACTGGAAGCTCAAAGTGACATCCGACATTTAAAAAGAATTGGCACAGAATATTGGACACTATAAATTTCTTTTCCATCTAACAGAATTTTTGCTCTGGTGTTAGACCTTCATGGTTGAACTCTATTAGTGCCTCCCCCCCTTTTTTTTTTTTGCATTAACGGTTTAAAGCTTGTTTACCAAGTCTCCCTGGTAGATCAATCTTAACCCTTGTGCCAGTAGAAGTGTGTCACCCACACTATTGTGGCACAAAGGGGGGATTTGTGGGAAGTCAGACCCCCCCCCAGAGAAGGAAATTAATATTTCCTTCTCTGGGGGGGGGGGTCTGACTTCCCACAAGAAAAACATGCCCAGTTTTTCTTAATAGCCCCAAGTCTCCTTCCCCCAAGCAGAAACCAGCTCTGTAGAAATGCAGATGTAATAATCCATTCAGCAAGGTTGGAGGCCTCCAGCTAGAAGCTTAGGAAGACAAAGACACCTAAAATCTACACACCCCACCCAAATTCTAAGACAGGACATAATAGGATTGACCCACAGATACCAGAAAGGCACACTCAGACTCAGGTCAAAGTTCATGCCACAGGAACAACTCCAAACAAAAGGCTCCAGAGGGTATAAACACCCACTCCTCACATGTGCTCAGCCTCTTTTTCTCTCTCTCTCTTCTTCCAGAGCCATCTTCCTGTCTGGCTCTCCTCTTCAATAAACTGCAACCTTCTTTCTAAAGCAGTCGCCTTGTTTGTTTATTCCCGGCTTGGACTGAACCACGACGAAGACTTTTCCTTCAACATCTCCTTGATCAGTTTCCATCTGTCGCTTCTTGTCCTGCCTTCTGGTGCTCTGAAGAACATGGCCAACTTTGGGAAAGATCTATTTTAAACTTTTAAATTCTCTTTTCTCTCCCGCCCCTCCTCCTCTTTTGCAGTCCAGCAAACGCTCCGGCAATTATTGGCTGATCTTGCCAAACTTTGGACCCCTTTTATCTCTCCCTCTCCCCACCCCCCCAAACCCAGCTCATCTTGCGTAGTTTGGGCTTCTCCTATTATGGGAACTTTTCCTGCGACAATCCCATGACCCCGGGGGACACTGCATCGGTTGTGTGTGCGAAAGACGGTCCTAAGTCCCTTTTTTTTTTCCAGTGCCGTTGCAACTTGGAACGGTCACTAAACGGGCCGTTGTAAGTCGGGAACTCCCCGTAGGTCCTTCTTGAAATGCAAATATTGCAGTTTGGGCTTCTCCTATTATGGGAACTTTTCCTGCGACAATCCCACGACCCCGGGGGACGCTGCATCGGTTGTGTGTGCGAAAGACGGTCCTAAGTCCCTTTTTTTTTTCCAGCGCCGTTGCAACGTGGAACGGTCAGTAAACGGGCCGTTGTAAGTCGGGAACTCCCCGTAGGTCCTTCTTGAAATGCAAATATTGCAGGATTAAAAAAAGGGCGCAGGGAGGACCAGAAAGGGGGGGGATCGCTGGGTGGTGCCCACTCCGCCCCCCCCAGCACCCCTTTTGCTTGCCACTCACCGCCCGGAGGAGCCCTCGGGGCTCAAGGCGACCCTCGCAGCCGGGTGAGCGGGGGGGGGGGGATTCCCGGGGCGGGGGTCTTGCAGGCAGGAAAAGCCGAAGGGGGCGGAATTGCACCGCCGCAAGTCGCAGAGGCGGATCTTGCCGGCCAAGGAAGCGGGGGAGCCGCGGACCCGGACGGGGAGTCAACTGCGGAGGGTCCAGACGAGACGGGGGCGTTGCAAAAGCTGCCCGGAAGCTGGCGAGGCATCGGAGTGGCTCGCGGGCGCCCCCGCCACGGAGCCGCCCGCGTTGCGGCCGTCGGGTTGGAGAAGGACGAGCCCTGCCCGGGAGCGCCGGCCCCGTGGCCACGCCCACTTAACCCTTTGCCTCCCTTCGCTGCCTCGGAAAAGAAGCGAAGCGCTTTCCGCCCTGATTGGACGCGGGGAATCCTCGACGTACGACCGCCGCTGAGCCCAACGTTTCTGTGGCTCAGGGAGACGATGGATAAGTGGGTTTTGCCCCGTTTCACCACCTCTCTTGCTATATAGGTGTAGGTTCCCCTGCTTGAGCAGGGGGGCTGGACTAGAAGACCTCTAAGGAACCCTTCCAGCTCTCTATCCTATTTTCTATTCTATTCCATTCCATATTTTCTATTCTATTCTATTCTATTCTATTCTATTCTATTCTATTCTATTCCATTCTATATTCTATTCTATATTTTATTTTATTCCATTCCATTCTATATTCTATTCTGTATTCTATTCCATTCCATTCCATTTTATTTTATTTTATATTCTATTCTATTCTATTCCATTCCATTCCATATGGTTATAAAATGGGGCAAAACACAGGGCTGTGTTTATATTATTTTATTTTATTCCATTCTATTCCATTCCATTCCATTTTATTTTATTCTCTATTCTATTCTATTCTATTTATTCTCTATTCCATTTTATTTTATTTAAAAAAATTATTTTATTTTATTCTTTATTCTTTATTCTTTATTCTTTATTCTATTCTATTCTATTCTATTCTATTCTATTCTATTCTATTCTGTTCTGTTCTATCCAATTCCATTCCATTCCATTCCATATGGTCATAAAATGGGGCAAAACTCATTTAACGGCTGTCTCGTTTAGCAGCTGGCTCAGTTGTGGCTGTAAGCTGAGGATGGCCTGAGTTTAAACCCCTTGTCACAAGTGTGCCCATACAAGTAGAAGAGAATAACAAGAGTCGGAAGGGAGCTTTGAGGTCATCTAGTCCAACCCCCTGCCCAAGTAGGAGATCCTACACCGTTTTTGACAGAGGTACCATCCAGTCTGTTGAACTCGTTCCAGAATCCCTGCGTGCAAGTGTGTCAAAGAATGTGTGAAGCCTCGTGTCGGAGGAACCGGGAAGGGCTTTCGTGTAGCATTCGTGCGGTTTCCTGCACAAAAAAACTGGGTGTGGGATGTCCGTACGGCCCTGCCTCAGTTTCCCAGTTGTCCTCTCCTGGTTCCCGCCTCCTTCCGTGGCTGGCTGGGGAATTCTGGGAGTTGAAGTCCACTCACCTTCAAGCTGCTAAGGTTGAAACCGTCTGAATAGAATAGGATAGAGCTGGAAGGGACCTGGGAAGGTCTTCTAGTCCAGCCCCCCCCTGCTCAAGCAGGAGAACCTATACCATCTGAGATAAATGGCTGTCCAGCCTCTTCTTAAAAACCTCCAATGATGGAGCTCCTACAACGTCTGGTGGCAAGGAGTTCCACTGGTTAATTGTCCTCACTGTCAGGAAGTTTCTCCTTAATTCCAGATTGCTTCTCTCTTTGGCCAGTTTCCAACCCTTGTTTCTCGTCCTGCCCTCTGGTGCTTTGGAGAATAATTTGACCCCCTAACTGAGCCCAACTTGCTAAACAAAGAAAAAACAAACCAAGATTGAAGCTAACTAGGTTTAGCACGGTGTGCAGAAACCGCCTTTAGAACCGGCTGGAGAAAGCGTGTTGTGTGACGCGACCGAGTGTGTGTGACGACTTCCACAACCCCCCTCCCTCTCCATTCTGCACACTCATCCAGGCTGGTCCCAGAGCCGGCCGGTCCCTCCCGCCCACCGAGGGGAGCAAGGACACCGGGCGCCAGTCAAGAGAAGCGGAAACGTCGCTCGGATTAATAAACTAGAATAATTTATTTGACAAAAACCACACAAACCGTCACAGGAAAGGAACAGAAGCCAAGCCGAGGACAGGGTGAAAGGGTCGCAGGCGGTTGGGTTCGCTGGAGGGAGTGCCGGGCTGGCTATACAGGTAGTCCTCGACTTACGATGGTTCATTTAGTGACCGTTCAAAGTTACAATGTGCGCTGAAAAAAAGGGATTCCGGACCGCTTTTCCCACTGAACGACGGTTGCAGCATCCCCACCAAAATTCAGAGGCTTGGCAACTGGCATGTACTTAGGACAGTTGCAGCGTCCCGGGGTCACGCGATCCGCTTTTGCGACCTTCGGACAAGCAAACTGAATGGGGAATGCAGGTTCGCTTAACGACCGTGTCACTAACTGAATCAAGGCAATGATTCACTTAACAAGAGTGAGAAAAAAAAGTCGTCAAAGGGGCAAACTCATTTAACCAATGTTTCATTTAGCAACATTAAATGTTGGGCTCCGTTGTGGCCGTAAGGCGAGGACTCTCTGTATTGGATCCCTATTTGACTCCACGATCGGCCTGGGGAGGGTGGGTGGGGGGTCAGTGGGGAGCCCCCAAAGTCTCCCCGGCGTGGAAGAGCACAGATCAACGAGCCCAGAGCCACACACCAGACGGGCCAAAGAAAGGCAAACACAGGTAAGTCCTCGGCTTACAACCATAATGGATCCCAATGTTTCCGTTGCTAAGTGAGACATTTAAGTGTATTTTGCCCCCTTTTACGACCTTCCTTACCACAGTTGTTCAGTGAATCGCAGCAGCTGTTAAGTGAGTAACACGGTTGTTAAGTGAATATGGCTTCCTCAGTGGCTTTGCTCATCCGAAGGTCCCAAAAAGGGGATTCCGCGACCGTCACAAATGTGAGTCAATGGCCAAGCATCTAAATCTTGATCACGTGGCCATGGGGACGCTGCGACGGTTGTAAGTTATAGAGCAGGGGTCTTCCAACTTGGCCCTTTGATGACTTGTGGACTTCAACTCCCAGAATTCCTCAGCCAGCGTGCTCGGCTGAGGAATTCTGGGAGTTGAAGTCCAGGGGTCTTCCAACTTGGCCCTTTGATGACTTATGGACTTCAACTCCCAGAATTCCTCAGCCAGCGTGCTCGGCTGAGGAATTCTGGGAGTTGAAGTCCAGGGGTCTTCCAACTTGGCCCTTTGATGACTTGTGGACTTCAACTCCCAGAATTCCTCAGCCAGGCGTGCCTGGCTGTGGAATTCTGGGAGTTGAAGTCCACAAGTCATCAAAGGGCCAAGTTGGAAGACCCCTGTTATAGAGGGTGTAAATTATAGTTCTGAACAATTGTAAATAAGAAAAAATTCACAAGTCACTTCTTTTTCAGTGCTTCTATAACTTCTAGTGGACACTAAATGAATCGTTATAAAGCGAGGACCGCCTGTATTCTCATCAATCCTCATCCGTTTTGGGCAAACTACTCTGCCTCCACCAAAATCACCTTTTTTTTGACCTGTCTGGATGAAATTGAAAACAATTAGGTGAGATATTTGGAAGAGGTCCCTCTGCCCTGTCTAAGCGGGAAATGGAAGGATTTCCCTCGTTGTGATTGTGGTGTGGTTGTGCATGCTGTCAAAACATAAGTGTGTCATATGTCGCCCACCATGTGTGTTGTCTGATTCTCTAGAAGATCTGTAAGAAGCATTTGCCCGGAGAGATGAACTGGACGTCCAGTTATGAGACCACTAGTGTACAAAACTTTTGTACAAAATGATGTGAGTTGTGTATGTGTATATCTTGACTTCTCTTCTGGTCCTGTTCTCGTCATGTTTTAAAAAATAAATACAGGTAGTCCTCAACTTACAATACTTCACTTAGTGACCGTTCAAAGTCACAACAACAGTGAAAAAAGTGACTTACGACTGTTTTTCACACTTACGACCGGGGCACGACACATTCGGACGCTTGACAACCGACTCGTATTTATGACGGTTGTCGTGTCCTAGAGGCGTGTGTGTGTCAGGCGATCCCCTTTTGTGACCTTCTGACAAGCAAAGCACATGGGAAAAGCCAGATTCACTTAACAACTGTGTCACTCGCTTAATGACTTAAGAACCGTGGGAACAAAGGTCGTAAAATGGAGCAAAACATTAACTTAACGACCGTTTTGCTCAGAAACTGGAGTTTTGGGCAAAATTGGGGTCGTACGACACGTCGAGGGCTACCTGTACTACCAAGGAAATGCGGAATGGATGGGACGACCGGAAGTGTGCAGTCACGACACCCTGGTCACACAGGGGGAGACAGGTGTGGTATCACAACTCACTGGGGAGCTGAGTGTCGACACTGGCCCGAAGGGGAGGAGGGCAATTTTTGAAGAGCTGAGAAAGGGAGTGAGAAACTTGGCTGGGGTGTTTGTGCTTCGTTGTGTCCTGGCTTTTGCAAAGAGGTGTGTGTGTGTGTATGTGTATGTGTATGTGTATGTGTGTGTGTGTGGCATGAACTTGCCAGCTAGGGAGTTGGGTCTGCCAGAGAAGAGATTGTGACCTGGTGTCACGTGGCCAGGAACGTGACACTCGGTAAGGGGAAGAGGGAGAATTTGAAATCGGAGGTCAGCTAGCCTACGGGATTAACAGCACTGGAGGAGCGTGGGAAAGCTTAAATCAAGTGTTCCTCCTCCTCCTCCTCTCCGCAAACTGCCCTCCCTTCTAGCATTGATGATGTTCCCTAGTTGGGTTATGAAACGTCTGCAAGAAAACCACCCAGCTCAGGGAGCACCAAGGACCCCACAGTCAGTCCTTCCTTCCTTCCTTCCTTCCTTCCTTCCTTCCTTCCTTCCTTCCTTCTAGCATTGATGATGTTCCCTAGTTGGGTCATGAAACGTCTGCAAGGAAACCACCCAGCTCAGAGAGCACCAAGGACCCCACAGTCAGTCCTTCCTTCCTTCCTTCCTTCCTTCCTTCCTTCCTTCCTTCCTTCCTTCCTTCCTTCCTTCCTTCCTTCCTTCCTTCCTCTTCCTTCTCCTCCTCCCTTCTAGCACTGATGATGTTCCCTAGTTGGGTCACAAAACATCTGCAAGAAAACCCACCCAGCTCAGAGAGCACCAAGGACCCTCGGAGTCATGATACCATCAGCCCCTCCCGAACACACACACACACACACACACACACACACACACACAGAGAGACACACACATGCAGGCCCACACATGCCCTAAGCGTGGCTGGACAACGCAGCTTCGTTCTTAGACCCCGCCCGCAGAATTCAGACCGGGCGGTGACCTCGAACCCAGGCCCGTGTGTTTGCAAGGGGACGGACCGCACCTCCTCGCGGGTCAACGTGTGAAAAAGAACGCAACTTCCCAAAACTTAATATAGAAAAAGAGGAGGGGGGAGTGCTGGGGGTGGGGGGGCTCCGGAGTGGAAAGGGAGAAGGGAGGTGGGCCGTTTATCTGTCGTTCAGCTGGGGGGAGTTTGTTCCGTCGGCCTCCTCTTCCTCGTCCTTCATGCATTTGAGTCTCTGGCGGGCGAAGTCTTCGAAGACGATGTCGTCGTCGCTGCGGGGAAAAAAAAGAGGACACAAGGAAATGGGTCAGGGGGCTGGAGAATTGTGGGCAGGGGGGAGAAGGAAACTCAGCTGGACATTCACCCTTCTTTCTTTCTTCCCCCCCCCCCCCCCCCGTTCAGTATTTTATTAATTTTTTTTATCACCACCAATCCGGAATATTTTATCAGCGGCGTATTGTCTGGGTTCCAGTGTTTTTAGTTCAGTGTTTCTCAACCTTGACCATTTTAAGGCATGTGGACTTCAACTCCCAGAATTCCACAGCCAGCAATGCTGGCTGTGGAATTCTGGGAGTTGAAGTCCACATGCCTTAAAATGGTCAAGGTTGAGAAACACTGGTGTAGTTTATTAGCACGTGTTAAACTCCTTTCTCTCTCTACCTCGTTTTTCTAGCCATTCCAAAACAGGGGTCCCCAACCTTGGCTCCTTTCAAGACTTGTGGACTTCAACTCCCAGAATTCCCCAGCCAGCAACTGAATTCTGGGAGTTGAAGTCCATCAGTCTTAAAAAGGATGGGAAACACTGCTCTAAACCAGGGGTCTTCAAACTTGACTTGTGGACTTCAACTCCCAGAATTCCTCAGCCAGCGTGCCTGGCTGAGGAATTCTGGGAGTTGAAGTCCACAAGTCCTCAAAGGGCCAAGTTGGAAGAGCCCTGGTGTAAAGGCCGACTAGAAAATCAGAATCACAGAATAACAGAGTGTGGAAGGGACCTTGGAGGTCTTCTAGTCCACCCCCTGCTCAAGCAGGAATCTCTACGCTATTCCAGACAAGGGGCTCTCCAGTCTCTTTAGAACAGGGGTCTTCCAACTTGGCCCTTTGGTGACTGGTGGACTTCAACTCCCAGAATTCCTCAGCCAGGCACGATGGCTGAGGAATTCTGGGAGTTGAAGTCCACAAGTCCTAAAAGGGCCAAGTTGGAAGATCCCTGATTTAGAGCAGTGTTTCCCATCCTTTTTAAGACTGATGGACTTCGACTCCCAGAATTCAATTGCTGGCTGGGGAATTCTGGGAGTTGAAGTCCACAAGTCCTCAAAGGGCCAAGTTTGAAGACCCCTGGTGTAAACTATTCTGAATCTTCTTTCTCTTCCATTTTCAGTGTCAGTCTGTCCATTTCTGCACAGTCTAAAATTTTCTTAATTAATCTCTTCCTCCGCTGGAAATTCTTCCTCTTTCCAACACTGAGCAAATAAATACAATTCTCGCTGCAGTTAACACACGCAACAATAAATACACATATTCCTTCTCCTAATTTCCTACAATTATACCTAACAAAAATAATTCTGGCTTAAAATCTGTGTGTCTTTTTAATCATTTTCTCTGACCGCCGCTCCCGTGGAACCGTTCTTGTGGTTCTCCTGGCTTCCCGGTGCGCACAGAGTAGGTAAAGAGTTGGGGCCGTGTAAAGGAAGAAGAAGAAGAAGAAGAAGAAGAAGAAGAAGAAGAAGAAGAAGAAGAAGAAGAAGAAGAAGAAGAAGAAGAAGAAGAAGAAGAAGAAGAAGAAGAAGAAGAAGAAGAAGAAGAAGAAGAATGGACATGAAGGCTGGGGAATCGAGGGTGAGCGGTTGAAGGGTTCAAGTCACAGATCTTGGAATGGAGACAGGGTCAGAATCAGAATCAGAGAATTGGAAGGGACCTTGTAGGTCATCTAGTCCAACCCCACCACCCACCCATGAGTCCACGAATCCACTGACTATCGGGTTGCAGGTAATCCTCAACATACGACCGCAAGTGAACCAGGATTTCCATTGCTAAGCAAAGGGGTCGTTTAGTGACTGGTGCCCAATTTTACAATCGTTACAGGTAGTCCTTGACTTAACGACCGCAATTGAGCTATAAGCGAGACATTCGTTAAGTGAGTTTGGCCCCGTTTTACGACTTTCCCCGCCACGTTTGTTAAACGAATCCCTGCAGTTGTGAAGTTGTTCAGTGTTAACATTGACTTTCCTTGTTAGCGGGTCGCAAAAGGGGATCACGTGACACCCCCCTCCCCGGGACACGGCGACCGTCATACATGTGAGTCAGTTGCCGAGCGTCCAAATGTAGATCACGTGACGGTGGGGGATGCTGTAACGGTGGCAAGTGTGAAAAATGGTCCTTTTTGCTGTGCTGTTGTAATTTGGAACAGTCAGTGATAAGTCAAGGACTATCTATTAACCACTGCAGTTGTTAAGTGAATCACGTGGTCGTTAAACGGATCCGGCTTCCGCCACTGACTTGGTTTGTCGGAAGCCGGCTGGGAAAGTCACAAATGGGGATCACGCGATTCTAGGACACGGTGACCATCATAAATATATGCCGGTTGCCAAGCGTCCAAATTAGCTGATCCCGTGATCATGGAGGATGCTGTGACGGTCGTAAGAGTGAGGACTGGTTTTGAGCCACTATTTCCAGTGCTTTTTAAAGCTTCCAACGGTCGCTAAAATAATGGCTGTAAGTTGAGGACAACCTGTAGAACAGGGGTCCTCAACCTTGGCCACTTTAAGACTTGTGGACTTCAACTCCCAGAATTCCTCAGCCAGCGTGCCTAGCTGAGGAATTCTGGGAGTTGAAGTCCAGGGGTCTTGAAACTTGGCCCTTTGATGACTTGGGGACTTCAACTCCCAGAATTCCTCAGCCACTGTGGCCATTGAGGAGAATTCTGGGAGTTGAAGTCCACATGCCTGGGAATTGCTACGGTAAACAGGGCCTACACCAATCCCAAGCATATGGTTCGGCCTAAGATCTCCTTCAGAGGTGTGGTGATGATAACTCCCATAATTCCCAGCCAGAGCTGCCCACGATGTTCAGGAGTTGTGGGTTTGGATGTATTTGGAGGCCCCCCTCAGGAGAAAGCAAGATTAGATTGGGATTTAATTCATTTAGAGCAGGGGTCCTCAATCATGGCCACTTTAAGACTTGTGGACTTCAACTCCCAGAATTCCTCAGCCAGCAAAGCTGGCTGAGGAATTCTGGGAGTTGAAGTCCACAAGTCTTAAAAGTGGCCAAGGTTGAGGACCCCTGCTGTAGAAGACAGAGGATTGAAATGGCTACTCGCTCACATGCAAAGAACCCAGGTTTCCCGTGAGCAGCTCTTCCGAACACACACAGACGCACCAACACCCCGTTTGACTTACTTTGTGTCGAGCTCTATGAGGTTTGTGTCGATGGGAGCTTCGTTTTGTGGAGCTGAAACCAAGAAGCAAAGCCAGCCAATCAGTTTCCTCGGACAGCAGCCCGGCCAACTTGATTTTTTTTCAACTCGCCAGCCCTCTCAAGACGGCAGTCCTCAGGAAGGTCCTTTCGGGAGGATGTTCATCTATCCCTTGCAGATCCAGGCCTTTGAAAAAGCTGCGCGCTGTGGCCATGTTTCTTTTTCAAAACTGGTCACTTTAAGAGGGGTGGACTTCAACTCCCAGAATTCCACAGCCAGCCAGGGAATTCTGGGAGTTGAAGTCCACCCACCGTCAAGTTCTTGGGGTTGAGAAACAATGATTTAGAGCCGTATTTCCCAACCTTAGCCATTTTAAGAAGGCTGGACTTCAACTCCAAGGAGTCTCCAACCAGCCAGAGAATTCTGGGAGTTGAAGTCCACTCATCTTCCCATTCAGCTGGCAGGGGGATTCTGGGAGTTGAAGTCCACCCAACTTCCCATTCAGCTGGCTAGGGAATTCTGGGAGCTGAAGTCCACCCATCTTCCCATTCAGCTGGTGGGGGGATTCTGGGAGTTGAAGTCCACCCATCTTCCCATTCAGTTAACTGGAGGATTCTGGGAATTGAAGTCCAGCCATCCTTCCATTAAGCTGGCTGGAGGATTCTGGGAATTGAAGTCCACCCATCTTCCCATTCAGCTGGCTGGGGGATTCTGGGAGTTGAAGTCCACCCATCTTCCCATTCAGCTGGCTGGGGGATTCTGGGAATTGAAATCCATCCATTTTCAAGTTGCTGAGGTTCACAAACAGACTGGGAGCCCTCTTTCCACACCTTCACCTTTTTAGGAGGGGTGGACTTCAACTCCCAGCATTCCCCAGCCAGCTAACCTGCTCCTTCAGCCTCCCCTCCCCCTCCAGCATCAGAAGAAGCCGGTCCCTCATTTCTGGCTTCCATGCTTCCAGAAGCTGAATTTGGAATACAGGTAGTCCTTGACGTACAACCGCTATGGAGCCTAAAAGATCAGTTGCTAAGCAAGATGGTTGTTAAGTGAGTTTTTCCCCATTTTACGACCTCGGGTGCTACATCGGTTAAGGCAGGGGTAGGCAACCTTGGCTCTTTTATGACTTCAACTCCCAGAATTCCTGAGCCAGCCATGCTGAGGGGAAAGGGAGAGGTTTCCAAGGTGTGCCACGCTGGCTCAGGAACTCTGGGAGTTGAAGTCTGCGAGTCATGAAGGGGCCATAGTTCCCCCATGCTGCCTCAGGAATTCTGGGAGTTGAAGTCCACGAGTCATGAAGGGACCATAGTTCCCCCATGCTGGCTCAGGAATTCTGGGAGCTGAAGTTCGCGAGTCATGAAGGGGCCAAAGTTTTCCCCATGCTGGCTGAGGAATTCTGGGAGTTGAAGTCCACCAGTCATGAAGGGGCCATAGTTCCTGCATGCTGGCTCAGGAATTCTGGGAGTTGAAGTCCACGAGTCATGAAGGGGCCATAGCTCCCCCATGCTGGCTGAGGAATTCTGGGAGTTGAAGTCCACGAGTCATGAAGGGGCCATAGCTCCCCCATGCTGGCTCAGGAATTCTGGGAGTTGAAGTCCACCAGTCATGAAGGGGCCNTGCTGGCTGAGGAATTCTGGGAGTTGAAGTCCACCAGTCATGAAGGGGCCATAGTTCCTGCATGCTGGCTCAGGAATTCTGGGAGTTGAAGTCCACGAGTCATGAAGGGGCCATAGTTTCCCCCATGCTGGCTGAGGAATTCTGGGAGTTGAAGTCCACGAGTCATGAAGGGGCCATAGCTCCCCCATGATGGCTCAGGAATTCTGGGAGTTGAAGTCCACGGGTCATGAAGGAGCCATAGTTCCCCCATGCTGGCTGAGGAATTCTGGGAGTTGAAGTCCCCAAGTCATGAAGGGGCCATAGTTCCCCCATGCTGGCTCAGGAATTCTGGGAGTTGAAGTCCACCAGTCATGAAGGAGCCAAGGTTGCCTACCCCTGGGTTAAGGGGATCCCTGCAGTTGTTAAGCTAGAAACACGCTTGTTAAGTGAATCTGGCTTCCGTAGTGACTTTGCCGGCCACAAAAAGGGGATCGCGTTGACACCCTCTCAGCCACCCCCCCACTCCCTGGTGACCCTGCCACGGTCATAAACACGAGTCCGTTCCCAGGCCTCTGAGTTTCTCCTAGGGGGGCCCGCGAGGACCCTGCAACCGTCGTGCGAAGTCCCTTTTTTTATCAGTGCCGTCGTAAATGCTACGAACAGTCACTAAAGGGATCGTCGTAAGACGAGGACTACCTGGACCAAGGGGGTCCTTCGCTCTGTAATCTGGAAGCACGGCCCAAAAGGCTTCGGTTCTCGAAGCCATGGGGTGGGAGAGAGGCCAAGCCCCACTCTGAAACCGGACCCTTCCCCAGGTCCCGCCCTGCACCCCCGGACCCAGCTGAGCCCCCCCCAACCCCTCCGTACCCCCCAACCCCTCAGACCATCTCACCGTCTTGGTGCAAGGCCTCTTCCTTCGGTTTGGGGTGCATCAGGGTGAAGGGCAGCTCCACGGCCACGTCGCTGGAAAGAAAGACGGAGAGTGAGGGACCCAGGTCTGGGTATGGCGGGCACCAGCTTCCTAACTCTGGGGTGGGGGCCTCCTCCCGTGGCCGGGAGCTGCGGCCGAGTCTGCCTCGCTCCGGGCTTCCGAAGCTGGGTTCCCGGGGAGCCAGGTTGGCCCTGGTTCTGGGCATTTTTTTTTCTTTTAAGGGAGGAAAACTCACCGGATCCTCAAGACTCTGTTACTCTGTGATTCCCTAAGGGTCTCCTGCTTGAGCAGGGGGTTGGACTGGATGGCCTCCGAGGTCCCTTCCAACCCTGTTGTTCTCTTATTCGGAATGGTCAAGGGCAGGGGTAGGCAACCTTGGCTCTTTTATGACTCGTGGACTTCCAATACCCAGAATTCCTGAACTGGCCATGCTGAACTCAGGAATTCTGGGAGTTTGAAATCCACGAGTCATAAAAGAGGCAAGGTTGCCTACCTCTTGTCTAGGGTCTCCTGCTTGAGCAGGGGGTTGGACTAGGTGACCTCCAAGGTCCCTTCCAACCGTGTTATTCTGAATGCCATACGGTCTCCTGCTTGAGCAGGGGGTTGGACTAGATGACCTCCAAGGTCCCTTCCGACTCTAGTTATTGTGATTCTGTCAGGGTCTCCTGCTTGAGCAGGGGGTTGGACTAGATGACCTCCAAGGTCCCTTCCAACCATGTTATTCTGAATGCCATACGGTCTCCTGCTTGAGCAGGGGGTTGGACTAGATGACCTCCAAGGTCCCTTCTGACGCTAGTTATTCTGTGATTCTGTCAGGGTCTTCTGCTTGAGCAGGGGGTTGAACTAGATGATCTCTAAAATACCTTCCAACCATGTTATTCTGAATGCCATACGGTCTCCTGCTTGAGCAGGGGGTTGGACCGAATGACCTCCAAGGTCCCTTCCGACTCTAGTTATTCTGTGATTCTGTCAGGGTCTCATGCTTGAGCAGGGGGTTGGACTAGATGACCTCCAAGGTCCCTTCCGACTCTAGTTATTCTGTGATTCTGTCAGGGTCTCCTGCTTGAGCAAGGGGTTGGACTGGATGGCCTCCAAGGTCCCTTTCAATTCTGTGATTCTGTAGGTTTAAGAGTTAGTTGGCGTCAACTAGCATCCAAATCGAATGAAAATACAGGTAGTCCTCGATTCACAATGGTTTGTTTAGTGACCGTTTGAAGTCACAACAGCACTGGAAAAAAAAGTGACTTAGGACCGTTTTTCACACTGGCGACCGTTGCTGCAGCATCCTGGGGTTAATGATCAAAATTCAGACGCTTGGCAACTGACTCATATTTATGACGGTCGCAGCGTTCTGGGATCACGTGACCCCCTTTTGCGACCTCCTGACAAACAAAGTCAATGGGGAAAGCTGGATTTGCTTAGCGACCATGTCACTGATTGAATAACTGCAGTGATTCACTTAATAACTGTGGCAGGAAAGGTAGTAAAAGTGAGGCAAAACTCATTTAACGACCGTCTCGCTTAGCAACAGAAATCGCGGTCGTAAGCCGAGGACTCCCTGTAAATCATTGAGAGTGAAAGGGCTGAAAAGGCTGGAAGGAAATGATGGCAGGTGAGGAACGGGAGCAGGTCGCTGCATGCAAAGGCAGGGGCTTCCCCAGAGGGGGTCAGAAAAGTCAAGATGGCGTCGGTGCTTAGCAACCGCAGCCGCATCCCTTGTGAGCAAAAAAACCCTTGACCTTTTTGACTTTCCCCATGGATGCCCCCTGGTGGAGGGAAGTGGCACTGCATAGGATCAGCGCAGGTAGAATCTGAAAGGTGTTACCTGGAGGCCAGGTCTCCCAGCAAGCTGGCATTTGGAAGGAGAGGAGAGAAGAGGGTTAGAGTAGAGTAGAGTAGAGTAGAGTAGAGTAGAGTAGAGTAGAGTAGAGTAGAATAGAATAGAGAGCAGAATAGAGAGCAGAATAGAGAGCAGAATAGAATAGGGAATAGAATAAAATAGAATAAAGAACAGAACAGAATGAAGAACAGAACAGAGAACAGAACAGAATAGAGAACAAAACAGAATAGAGATCAGAATAGGGAATAGAATAAAATAGAGAACAGAACAGAATAAAGAACAGAATAGAGAACAGAACAAGGAACAAAATAAAATAGAGAACAGAATAAAGAATAGAACAGAGAATAGAACAGAATAGAGAACAGAAGAGAATAGAGAACAGAATAGGGAACAAAATAAAATAGAGAACAGAATAAGGAACAGAACAGAGAATAGAACAGAATAGAGAACAGAAGAGAATAGAGAATAGAATAAAATAGAAAAGAGAACAGAACAGAATAGAATAGAGAACAGAACAGAATAGGGAATAGAATAAAACAGAATAGAGAACAGAGGACAATACAGAAGAGAATAGAATAGAATACAGAACAGAGAATAGAATAGAATAGAATAGAATAGAATAGAATAGAATAGAATAGAATAGAATAGAATAGAATAGAATATATAGGGATGGTGATGGGAATAGAATAGAATAGAATAGAATAGAATAGAATAGAATAGAATAGAATAGAATATATAGGGATGGTGATGGGAATAGAATAGAATAGAATAGAATAGAATAGAATAGAATAGAATAGAATAGAATAGAATAGAATAGAGAACAGAGCAGAACAAAACAGAACAGAATACTCTTATTGGACAAATATGATCAGATACATGAAGAATTTGTCTCCGGTGCAGAAGCTCTCAGTGCACATATAAACCGCATGTAATAAGTCATAGGTCATAAATCATAGTGACCGGCTTCCAACGGCCCTCCCCTGCCAAGATCATGTAAATCAAATTTGGGGCAACTGGTTCACATTTATGACCGTTTGTGGCACGCTGAGATCACCTGACCGTGGATTGGCAATGTTTTTGGCAAAAACTGGTGTTTATTTCTAATTTCTGCCCCCCCCCCCAAAAAATGCTCAGGTTGGACAAATCGAACGGCCGCAAATCAGTTTTGTAAAATCAGGTTTTCTTGCACGGTGCCTCGTCTTACGACCGTCGTGAAATACCACGGAAATTTCAGGTTCGGTTACGGTCGTTAAGTTGAGGACTGTACGTACTTACCCGCCTCGTGAGACCACCAGCTTGACTTTCACTTTGTAGGAGACGATGATGCCCAAAACTTCCTTGTTGGCGCCGTCTCTTAGCCTGGCCGTGGAGAGAAAAGAATTGAGCCTCACAAATTTATATATATATATATATATATAAAAAGTGAAATAGAATTTCTCTTAGGTTTTCATCCTTTCTCTTTTCCTTAATGGCCTTCGGGGGTGCAGAGATCTGTATAGGGCAGGGGTAGGCAACCTTGGCTCTTCTGGCTTGTGGACTTCAACTCCCAGAATTCCTCAGCCAGCATGGGGAAATTATGGCCCCTTCATGACTTGTGGACTTCAACTCCCAGAATTCCTCAGCTAGCATGGGGGAACTATGGCCCCCTTCATGACTCCTGGACTTCAACTCCCAGAATTCCTGAGCCAGCATGGGGAAACTATGGCCCCTTCATGACTGGTGGACTTCAACTCCCAGAATTCCTCAGCCAGCATGGGGGAACTATGGCCCCTTCATGATTCGCAGACTTCAACTCCCAGAATTCCTGAGCCAGCATGGGGAACTATGGCCCCTTCATGACTCCTGGACTTCAACTCCCAGAATTCCTGAGCCAGCATGGCTCAGCTTGGAAACCTCTCCCTTTCCCCTCAGCATGGCTGGCTCAGGAATTCTGGGAGTTGAAGTCCACGAGTCATAAAAGAGCCAAGGTTGTCTACCCCTGGGATAGGTAGTCCTCGGCTTACAATAGTTCACTTAATGGCCGTTGCAGTGTTCCAGGGTCCTGTGATCCCCTTTTGCAATCTTTTGACCAGCAAAATCAATGAGGGAAGCTGGATTCGCTTAACAACCGAGTTATTAACTTAACAACTGCCGTGATTGGCTTAACGACGGTGGCAAGAAAAGTCGTAAAATGGGGCAAAATTCACTCAACAATTGTCTCGCTTAGTAATGGAAATGTTGGGCTCAATTGTGGTCGCAAGTCTACTATATTTGTTTTATATATATGCTTGTATACAGGAAGTCCTCGACTTCCCACAGTTCATTTAGTGACCGGCACTGAAAAAAGGGACTTATTTACCATTTTTCACACTTAAAAACGTGGCAGCTTCCCAATATTCACGTGATAAAAATTCAGACACTTAGCAACTGATTCATATTTATGACGGTCACAGCATCCTGTGGAGGGGTCTTGTGATCCCCTTTTGCAACCTTCTGACAAGCCAAGTCAATGGGGGAAGCCGGATTCGCTTAACGACCGTGTTAGTAATTTAACGACTGCCATGATTTTGCTTAACGGTGACAAGAAAAGAGCAAAATTCACTTAAGGATTGTCTCCTTTAGCAACAGAAATTTTGGGCTCAATTGTGGTTGTAATTCGAGGACTACCTGTATTATATTCGTTTCATATATCTGCTTGTATACAGGTAGTCCTCGACTTACGACAGTTCATTTAGTGACCGTTCAAAGTTACGACGGCATTGAAAAAAGGGACTCATGGCCGTTTCTCACACTTACGACCGTTGCAGCATGATCACATGATCAAAATTTAAGACACCTGGCAACTGATTCACATTTACGACGGTCGCAGTGTCGGGATCGTATGATCCCCTTTTGCGACCTTCTGACAAGCAAAGTCAATGGGGGGAAGTCGGCTTCGCTTAACGACCATGTTAGTGATTCGCTTAACGGCAACAAGAAAGATGGGGCAAAATTCACTTAACGATCGTCTCCTTTAGCAACAGAAATTTTGGGCTCAACTGTGGTCGTAAGCCGAGGACTCCCCGTCAAACCGCTAAACGCCACCCCGGTGTGGCCGATGGGCCGTTTTTGGGGCCGGGGCGCATCGGCGCACATGCGCGCCATCCGAATTCGCTCCCCCAACGGCCCCGGAGGAAAGATGGCACTCACAGGGTGCTGGAAGCCAAATTGGTGTCCTCGTGTTTCAGCTTTCCGTCCAAAGCCAGTCCGCGTTTTTCCCGGTTGTTGGCGAGGAAGGGGGTCAAGGTGTAGACCTTGCAGAAGGTGGAGCTGGGGGCCACCACGTCGCTGCAGGGAGGGGGCAAAGGGGGGGAGGGGGGGAGGGAGAAGGAGGAACCGTCCGGGCGTCAGAGCATCGTCCCTCGCAGCTTTTGTTCGCAGCAGGAAGGAAATAAAATGGGCAGGGATTGTCGAATAAGGTCTCCCAACGTGGGAAGGCGGTTGGGATAGATGACCTCCAAGGCCCCTCCCCCAGCTCTAGGATTCTATGATCGTTCTCTCTCTCTTTCTATTACCTCTCTCTCCTGCTCATTTATCTCTATATCTCTTGTGTCTGTGTCTGTCTGTCAGTCTATCATCTATCGTTTATCTATCATCTCTATCTCCTATGTCTTTATTTCATCTGTCTGTCTGTCTATCATCCATCCTTCCTTCCTTCCTCCCTCCCTCCGTCCCTCCCTCCCTCCATCATCTATCTATCTATCTATCTATCTATCTATCTATCTATCTATCTATCATCCATCCTTCCTTCCATCTATATCTTCCTTCCTTCCTTCCTTCCTTCCTTGCTTGCTTGCTTGCTTGCTTGCTTCCTTCCTTCCTTCCTTCCTTCCTTCCATTATCTATCTATCTATCTGTCTGTCTGTCTGTCTGTCTGTCTGTCTGTCTGTCTGTCTGTCTGTCTGTCTGTCTGTCTGTCTGTCTGTGTCTGTCTCTGTCTGTCTGTCTATCATCCATCCTTCCTTCCATCATCTATCTTCCATCCATCCAAGGAAGGAAGGAAGGAAGGAAGGAAGGAAGGAAGGAAGGAAGGAAGGAAGGAAGGAAGGAAGGAAGGAAGGAAGGAAGGTGGGTAAGAGAGAGACAGAGAGAGAGAGGAAGGAAGGAAAGGAAGGTAGGTAATAGATAGATAGATAGATAGATACTATCTATCTATCTATCTATCTATCTATCTATCTATCTATCTATCTATCTATCTATCTATCTATCTATCTATCTATCTATCTATCTATCTAAAACTGTAAACTGTCTTACAACTGGAATAATTTTTGTGGGGTTTTTCCCCACAAATCCTGGGTGAGGGAGGGGGGGGTTAGTAAGTGTGTCCAGGCAGGAGGAGAATAATGGGCTGCGTTCCGACTTTAATTTGCACTATCTAAACTGATACTCAAACCAAACTGCAGCTGTTTTTCACTGTCCTTTCTGGAGTTTTACAATGCAAGTTTCCAATTGAAAAAGAGTGTGTGTGTGAGCGTAAATGGGCCTGCCTCCATCCTAGCGGGAGAGGCAGCGGCTGGGCCCACCGGCTGGCTACTCACTCGGTTTCCTCCACGGCCACCGGGCACTTGTACTGGGCAGTGTTGAACAGGCAGATGTCCGCATATTGTCGAACTGGAAAGCAAGCAGGAAGAGAGAGAGAGACACAGAGACACATATGTGTGTGTGTGTGTGTGTGTGTGTGTGTGTGTGTGTGTGTGTGCCGAGGGGCCAGCTGGTGGAGCAACGTCCATGGAAGTACCCTGGGTCATCGGTGAGGGGTGGTCAAGACATATATATATGTTAAGAGTGATATAACGTAATTAACATGTTTTGATGTAGTGATAAGAATAAAAATTAGAAGCCTTAAATATGAGAAAGTGGATATAAGGAAGAATGCTGAAAGGGGAGAAATTTTGGCTATTGAATTTATAATATTTGGAAATTATAATGAAAATAAGAATGTTATATTGTATTACTAATCCGTTGATACAGAAGTGAGATAGGTAAGATACATATTCGGAATACTAGATGTTGGGGGGGAATCGTGACAAAGGGAGCCCTGAGTCCGCAAGGAGAAGGGCGGGATATAAATTCAATAAATAAATAAATTCAATAAATAAATTGGGGGTCACTTACAAATTTGGAAATGATAAAATATTAAACGGTTAATTTCAATATCAACGCAACATTAAAGCCGGGAAAATTCATAAGGTTACTGATGGTCCAAAAGATGGAATGTTAAAATAAGTAAGACATATCAAATTAGTGATAAATGTAAGAAAGCTGTAAAATAGCTGATGAATAGAATAAGAAGTATACTAATTTAAACAAGAGACAGTATGTATTGAGGGAAAAAAGGAGAGGAAATGTTGGCTGTAATAGTTGGAGATTTGTATTAATAATACCTGCATGTAATGGAACTGTTGTAACTCAGACACCACGTTGCTTTTCAAAGATATAATTGTAACATTGGAAAATTAATAAAAAGTTAAACCAGAAAAAAAAAGGCGGCCTGGATGATGTAATGGAAGGACCCTCCTTTTTTTAAAAAAAAAAACCAAACGGGTGGAGCGTTTGACCACACCAATATAGCTGCTACCTTGCCTTATTTCAGTGGTTCTCAACCTTTTTAATGCCGCGACCCCAACCGGTCGTAAGTCGAGGACTAAACCGGTCGTAAGTCAAGGACTACCCAACCGGTCGTAAGTCGAGGACTTTCCCTGCCCGGAAGCGTCGCACATGCGTGGTTCCGCCCCCTGCGCCGGCCGAGGCGTAGCTGGCAAGCGGCAGAGACGGAGCAGGCCGACCACCAGCTGGCCCAGCCCAAGGGAGGTAAGGCACCCGCCGGAAAAGGGGAAACAAAATGGCGGACAAAAAAAATGGCGGACAAAAAAAATGGCGGACAGCCTTGCTTGGCGACCCCCGTGAAATGGTCGATCGACCCCAAATGGGGTCCCGACCCACAGGTTGAGAACCACTGACTTATTTGACCGTATTCCACGGAGGAGACCCCTCCTGTGGGCAACGTACTGGACCTCAGGAGATGGAGATGTCAGATGAAGAATTTAAATGATGTGAAATGAAAATGGGGGGGGGGAATGAAACAAAATATGAAATGAAATGTAAATAAAATTACTTTTGCAAGAAGGAGAGAGGAGAGAAAAAGAGAGGAGAAGAGAGAAGAGAGGAGGGGGAGGGAAGGGCAGGGCTGAAGGGGAGGGGAGGGGAGAAGCAGAGGGGAGAAGAGAGGAGGAGAGAGGGGAGGAGGGGAAGGGAGGGGTGGAGGAAGGAAGGAAGGAAGGAAGGAAGGGGAAGGGAAGAAGGAAGGAAGGGAGAGAGGGAAGAAGAAGTGGAGCGGGAAGGGGAAGAAAAAAGGAAAGAAGGGAAGATAAGAGAAAGGCAATGGGAAGTCAGGGCAGAAGGGAAGGGAAGGGAAGGGAAAAGAGAAGAGAAGGGAAGGGAAGAGAAGGGAAGGGAAGAGGAGAAGAGAAGAGAAGAGGAGAAGAGAAGAGAAGAGAAGAGAAGAGAAAGAAGGGAAGGGAAGGGAAGGGAAAAGAGAAGAGAAGAGAAGGGAAGAGAAGGGAAGGGAAGAGGAGAAGAGAAGAGAAGAGAAGAGGAGAAGAGAAGAGAAGAGAAGAGAGGAGAGAGAAGGGAAGGGAAAAGAGAAGGGAAGGGAAGGGAGAAGAGAGGAGAGAAGAGAAGAGACAAGGGAAGAGAAGAGAAAAGAAGAGAAGAGAAGAACTGGACAGAAAGATTTTGTTTCTGACTCTGTACATTTTAAAAAATCTAAAATATGTATGTAAACAAAGTGCATATAAAAACAGGAACCCCTCCTCACTAATTCCAAAGTCCTGTCTGACCATTGATTCAAATCAGGTTCCTGCACTCAAAAAAATTGTCTGGATTTTATATCCCTCCCTTCCTCCCTCCCTCTTCCTGTCCTTCCCTTGAGGGACCAAAACGACAAAATGGCTTTGGATGGCCTGGTGCCCTCCACCACCAGACTCTCAATCCAGGAGAACTGGATTCCCACCCACGACTCAGCCAAGCCCTGCTAGGTCCCACCACCCCGGAGGAGGACCACCTACGCAGGAGGACCCGGCCTTCTCTCCCGGATGCCACCAGCGGAGAACAGGAGAAGCCTCCCGGTTACCTGAGATTTTAATCTTCTTGACCATCTTGTTGGTGTTGTTTGTCACGTGGACGTTGACATTGATCGGTTCTCCGTGATAATAGATCTGTGGGGAGACAGGCGACAGGTCGAGGAGGCCCTCAAGGTGAAACTTCTGGGAAGGGTCCCTTCCAACTCTATTCTGTTCTGTTCTGTTCTCTATTCTGTTCTGTTCTATTCTCTATTCTGTTCTGTTCTCTATTCTATTCTGTTCTCTATTCTATTCTATTCTGTTCTATTCTCTTCTGTTCTCTATTCTATTCTCTTCTGTTCTCTATTCTGTTTTGTTCTCTATTCTATTCTATTCTATTCTGTTCTGTTCTCTATTCTATTCTGTTCTGTTCTCTATTCTGTTTTGTTCTGTTTTCTATTCTATTCTGTTCTCCATTCTATTCTGTTCTATTTTATTCTATAATAATAATAATAATAATAATAATAATAATAATAATAAAGTTGGAAGGGACCTTGGAGGTCATCTAGTCCAACCCCCTGCTCAGGCAGGAAACCCTATACCATTTCGGACAAATGGCTGTCCAGTCTCTTCTTAAAAACTTCCAGTGTTGGAGGATTCACCGCTTCTGGAGGCAGGTGGTTCCACTGGTTAATTGTTCTCACTGTCAGGAAGTTTCTCCTTAGTTCTAGGTTGCTTCTCTCCTTCTATTCTATTCTGTTGTTCTGTTCTGTTCTGTCCTGTCCTGTCCTGTTCTCTATTCTATTCTATTCTGTTCTGTTTTCTATTCTATTCTGTTCTGTTCTCCATTCCATTCTACTATTCCTTATTCTATTCCTTATTCTATTCTATTCTATTCTATTCTATTCTATTCTATTCTATTCTATTCTATTCTATTCTATTCTATTCTATTCTATTCTATTCTCTCTCCTCTATTCTATTCCATTCCATTCCATTCCAACTCTGCTAGGGCTGCAGAGAACCCACCCTGGATCTGCCCTGCCGAAGGGCTCAAATACCTCTTTGTCCAGCGAGGCCTCTAAATGGAGGGGCTTGTCGGACATGAGGAACTGCCGGGTGGTCTCCGCCATGGGCTGGGGGCCTGGCCGCTCGGGCGCATACTGGACTTTCCGGATCACCAGGCGCACGGAGTTCCTGCACCGGCAGTTGGGGACAAGACAGGCAACATCACAACCTGACATGCTTACCCCAGCCTTCCCGTGAAGAGAGGACCTTCTTTGGACTGCAGGACCCAGAATCCCCAAAGGGGATATGCAGTATACAGGCAGTCCCCGACGTACGACCACAATTGAGCCCGTTGCTAAGCGAGACGGTCGTTAAGTGAATTTTGCCCTGTTTTGTGACCTCCTCTGCCGCCGTTGTTAAGGGAATCACTGCAGTTGTGAAGTTAGCAACACGGTTGTTAAGTGAGCCTTGGCTTCCCCCATGGACTTTGCTGGTCAGAAGGTCGCAAAAGGAGATCACGGGGCTCCGGGATACAGCAACGGTCATGAATATGAGTCAGTTGCCCCTTTGGATCAGTTGAGCATGGAGATGCTGCAATGGGCGTCAGTACGAAAAACGGGCATCAGTCGCTTTTTTCCAGCGCTGTTGCAGCTTTGAATGGTCACTAAATGAACTGTCGTAAGTCGAGGACTGCCTGTAATGTAAGGTCTGGCCTATTTACGAGACAGAAGGAAGAGCTGCAGAGTAGGCAGACAGTTGGAAAAGAAAGAAAGAAAGGAAGGAAGGAAGGAAAGGAAGGAAGGAAGGAAGGAAGAAAAAGGAAGGAAGGAAGGAAAGAAAGAAAGAAAAAGAAAAAAGAAAGAGAGGAAGGAAGGAAAGAAAGAGAAAGAAAAAGAGAAAAAGAAAAAAAAAGAAAAGAAAGAGAAAGGAAGGAAGGAAAGAAAAAAGAAATAAAGAAAAGAAAAAGAAAGAAAGAAAGAGAAAGAGAAAGAAAGAAAAAAGAAAGAGAGGAAAGAAGGAAAGAAAGAAAGAGAAAAAGAAAAGAAAGTAGAAGGAAGGAAGGAAAGAATAAAAAAAGAAAGAAAAGAGAAAGAAAGAAAGAAAAAGGAAAGAAGGAAGGAAAGAAAGAAAGAGAAAAAGAAAGAAAAGAAAGAAAAGAAAGGGAAAAAAAGAAGAGAAAGAAAGAGAAAAAGAAAGAAAGAAAGAAAAATGAAAGAGGAAAGAAGAAAAGAAAGAAAGAGAAAAAGAGAAAGAGGAAGGAAAGAAAAAAAGAAAGAAAAGAGAAAGAAAAAGAAAAAGAGAAAGAAAGAGAAAAAGAAAGAAAGAAAAAAGAAAGAAAAAGAGAAAAAGAAAGAAAAGAAAGCGGAAGAAAGGAAGAAAAGAAAAAAAAGAAAAGAGAAAGAAAGAAAGAAAGAAAGAAAGAAAGAAAAAGGAAAGAAGGAAGAAAGAAGGAAGAAAGGAAGGAAGGAAGGAAGGAAAGAAAAAGAGGAAGGAAGGAAGGAAGGAAGGAAAGAAAGAAAGAAAGAAAGAAAGGAAGGAAGAAAGAAAGAAAGAAAGAAAGAAAGAGGAAGGAAGGAAGGAAGGAAGGAAGGAAGGAAAGAAAGAAAGAAAGAAAGAAAGAAAGAAAGAAAGAAAGAGGAAGGAAGGAAGGAAAGAAAGAAAGAAAAAGAAAGAAAAAGAAAGAAAGAGGAAGGAAGGAAGGAAGGAAGGAAGGAAGGAAAGAAAGAAAGAAAGAAAGAAAGAAAGAAAGAAAGAAAGAAAGAAAGAAAGAAAGAAAGAAAGAAAGAAAGAAAGAAAGAGCAACCAAGCAGCCAAGCCATCCCAGGGCCTCTCAAGGCCTGAAAAACAGCCTCCAGATTTCCCAGGCTGGGGGAGCCGATCCTGAGGAAGGCCGGGAGATCCTCCAGGCCGCCTCGCCCGACACTCGGCCAACCACCGGAGGCGCAGGGACTCCCCCCCCCCAGGCTGGCCGTAACCAGTTTAGCCGGCCTACCTCTTGTGAATCTTCTCCTCCAAATTCTCCGCGCAGAAGGCCTTCACCTCGTAGTCCACCCCGCAAGCCTAAAAAAAAAAAGCAAGAGTCGGCCAGACGTGAAGCGAGGTTACGGGGCGGGAGGGGTCAGACTAGAAGACCTCTCAGCTCCCACCCCTCTCTAGGATTCTAGAATTCCGCATCCATTTCGCTGTGAAACTCTCCTCCTCTTGAGGAGACCGCGAGCAGCGCAGATAGTTCTTGGCCTAGGACCACAATTGGGACCAGAAATTGTGTTGCTAAGCAACGCGGTTGTTAAACCAGCCGTGCCCGATTTAACAGCCTTTTTTGTTTTTTTTGCCACGGTCACTAAGCGAATCACTTCAGTCGTGAAGCGAATCGTGTGGCCGTTAAGTGGATCCGGCTTTCCCCCCCTTGACTTTGCTTGTCGGAAGCTCAAAAACCAGACCGCGGCCGCCGTAAATACGCGGCCGTTGCTAGGCACCCAAATTTGGATCAGGTGACCGCGGGGAACCTGTGACGGTTGTAAGTCTGAGGAATGGTTTTTAAGTCACTTTTTTTAATACCGTTGTAAGTTTGAACTGTCACTAAATGAATGGCTGTAAGTCGAGGATTACCTGTCTAATTTTTCATCGTACAGATTAAAGCTCCTCTCGTTTTAATCCTCACCAAATAAAGACTGGTGATTCCTTCCTTCCTTCCTTCCTTCCTTCCTTCCTTCCTTCCTTCCTTCCTTCCTTCCTTCTTCCCTTCCTTCCTTCCTTCCTCCCTCCCTCCCTCCCTCCCTTCCTTGTTCTCCCTGATTCAAGAGGTCACTCAAGCAGTGACAGACAGAAATTCAGCAGGTGCAGCCTCTTTTTTTCACCATTTCCTTTCTTCCTTCGCTCCTTCCTTCCTCCCTTTCTCTCTCTTTTTTTCTTTCTTCCTCTCCCTCTCCTTCCTTCCTCCCTTTCTCTCTCTTTTCTTTCCTCTCTCCTTCCTCCCTCTTTTCATTTCTACTGAGGGCTCAGCAGCCTCTTTTTCCACCATTTCCTTCCTTCGCTCCTTCCTTCCTCCCTTTCTCTCTCTCTCTTTTTCTTTCTTTCTCTCCCTCTCCTTCCTTCCTTCCTTCGTCCCTTTCTTTCTTTCTCTCTCTCTCTTTTCTTTCCTCTCTCCTTCCTCCCACCCTCTTTTCATTTCTACTGAGGGCTCAGCAGCCTCTTTATTCACCATTTCCTTCCTTCCTTCGCTCCTTCCTTCCTCCCCTTCTCTCTCTCTTTCTTTCTTCCTCTCCCTCTCCTTCCTTCCTTCGTCCCTTTCTTTCTTTCTCTTTCTTTCTTTCTTTCTTTCTTTCTTTCTTTCTTTCTTTCTCTCACTCTCTTTTCTTTCCTCTCTCCTTCTTCCCTCCCTCCCTCCCTCTTTTCATTTCTACTGAGGGCTCAGCGGCCTCTTATCCAACGATCTGCCTAGTTTGTGGCTCTTTTCTTCTGTCTCCCAGGGTCGTTCTCACAGCCCATTTACCACAAGCAAACTTTGTGCCTTTCTGAGCAGCTTTTTGAAGCGTCTGAAAGAAGCCAGAACTTTGTTAGATGCCAAGGCCTCTTTTCCCACCCCCTCTGGTTAGGGGATCCTCTATCCACTGTACCCCCAGACGCCCCTTACCTACCTTTCCAGTGTCCTCCGGGCCAGGCTGCAGCGTCACGGAGCAAGGGAGATTGGGAGGGATCTGTGCAAAATAAAAATAAAAATAAAAACGCAAACAGAAGAATCAAAGCATCCCCCAGTAAAGGCAAAATCCCTCTTGCACAGCCCGGTTGCAAAACGCAAAGGAGGGACCGTTTGCAAACCTCGATTAACGCAACCGCCTTAGGCACAGAGCAGAAAAAGAGTCCAAATATTGCATATCAAAGAAAGGAAAGTGGAGAAAGAAAGAAAAAGAACAGAGCTATACGTAGTTTACTACATCAACCCTACTCATCATGCCTCTCAATGCCCTACAGACCCTCTTAGCTTCCCTTCACGTTAATTCACAATTTTATAATTGCTTTTTCTTCTTTAAACTTCTTCTCTCTCCATCCAAGGGTCTGCTTCCTCGGTTTTGTCTTCGTCTCAACCATTCGCTCCTCTTTTCTATATTTGCTTTATGATTAAATTTTCTTTCTTTTTTCTTTTTTTCTTTTTTCCTTCCTTCCTCCTTCCTTTCTTTTTTCTTTCTTTCTTTCTTTCTTTCTTTCTTTTCCTTCCTTCCTTCCTCCTCTTTTTCGTTTTCTTTCTTTCTTTCTTTTTCTTTCTTTTTTTCCTTCCTTCCTCCTTCCTCTTTCTTTTTTCTCTTTCTTTCTTTCCTTCCTCCTTCCGCCCTCAAGACATGGCTTTTTCAACAAGCGGGACTGACCTAGGGTGAATTTTAAATAGGGAAAATTTTTTTAAAGATTTTAATAATGACACAGCCATAAATATATTTGGTTTTTAATTGGTTTTATAGGGGAAATGTTTTTTGTGTTGTTTTTTAACATGCTGTGAGCCGCCCTGAGTCCCGTGGGGAGAAGGGCGGCATAGAAGTTGGAAATAAAAATTATCTTTCTTTCTTTCTCTTTTTCTTTCTTTCATTATCTCTTTCTTTTTCTTCCTTCCTTCCTTCCTTCCTTCCTTCCTTCCTTCCTTCCTTCCTCTCTTTCTGTCTGTCTGTCTGTCTGTCTTTCTTTCTTTCCTTCCTTCCTCCTTCCTCTTTCTTTTTTCTTTCTTTCTCTTTCTTTCTTTTCCTTCTTTCCTTCCTCCTTCCTTTCTTTTTTTCCTTTCTCCTTCCTCTTTCTTTCATTCTTTTCCTTCCTTCCTCTTTTTTCTTTTTCTTTTTCTTTCTTTTCCTTCCCTTCCTCCTTCCTCTTTCTTTTTTCTTTTTCTTTCTTTCCTTCCTCCTTCCTCCTTCCTCATTCTTTCTTTCTTTCTTTTTTCTTTCTTTCTTTCTTTCTTTCTTTCTTTTTCTCTCTCTTTCATTCTCTTTCTTTTCTTTCCTTTCTTTCTCTCTTTAATTCTTTCTTTTCTTTTCTTTCTTTCTCTCTCTTTCATTCTTTCTTTTCTTTCCTTTCTTTCTTTCTCTTTCATTCTCTTTCTTTTCTTTTCTTTTCTTCCTTCCTTCCTTCCTTCCTTCCTCCTTCCTTCCTTCCTTCCTTCCTTCCTTCTTTCTTTCTCCTCTCCAGCATTTCTCTCCTATTGTTCACTCACTTTCATTCTTGACTTTGTGGAAGAATCTGCCCTTTGAGGCAGACCAGGCAAGACACGTCAACAATGAATGCTAACAGTTGGTTTATTTATTGCAAGATTATTGTAAACTTTATTTACTGTAAGGTTCTTCCAAGGCTTTACTTAGTGCGGGGTTATTGTAAGGCTTTATTATTTTTTTTTACTGTAAGATTGCTGTGTTTATTCATTGTCAGGCTATGTTAAACAATCCTGCAAATACAGAATAACAGAAGGCACCCTGGAGGTCTTCTAATCCAACCCCCAGTTCAAGCAGGCAACCCTCTATCATTTTAGTCAAAATGGCTGTCCAATCTTTCCTTACAAACCTCCAGTGTAGGAGCATCCACAACTTCTGGAGGCAAACCGTTCCACTGATTAATTGTTCTCACTATCAGAAAATTCCTCCTTAATTCCAGGTTGTTTCTCTCCTTGATTAGTTTCAATCCGTTGCTTCTTATTTTGCCTTCAGCTGCTTTGGAGAATAGCTTGACTCTCTCTTCTTTGGGGCAGTCCCTGAGATACTGGAAGACTGCTATCATGTCCCCCCTCGTCCTTCTCTTCGTTAAACTAGACATACCCAATTCCAGCAGCCGTTCCTTATATGTTTTAGCCTCCAGTCCCCTGATCATCTTTGTTGCTCTTCTCTGCACTCTTTCTAGAGTCTCAACATCTTTTTTACATCGTGGCGACCAAAACTGGATGCAGTATTCCAAGTGTGGCCTTACCAAGGCCTTGTAAAGTGATATTAATACTTCACGTGATCTTGATTCTATCCCTCTGTTAATGCAGCCCAGCACTGTGTTGGCTTTTTTGGCAGCTGCAGCACACGGCTGGCTCCTATCTAAGGCAGTGGTTCTCAACCTGTGGGTCGGGACCCCATTTGGGGTCGATCGACCATTTCACGGGGGTCGCCAAGCAAGGCTGTCCGCCATTTTTTTGTCCGCCATTTTTTTCCCCTTTTCCGGCGGGTGCCTTACCTCCCTTGGGCTGGGCCAGCTGGTGGTCGACCTGCTCCATCTCTGCCGCTTGCCAGCTACGCCTCAGCCAGCGCAGGGGGTGGAACCACGCATGTGCGGCGCTCCCGGGCAGGGAAAGTCCTCGACTTACGACCGATTGGGTAGTCCTCGACTTACGACCGGTTTAGTCCTCAACTTATGACCGGTTGGGGTCGCGGCATTAAAAAGGTTGAGAACCACTGATCTAAGGGATTGTCCACTAGGACTCCGAGATCCCTCTCCCATCGCATCATCCAAGGTAGCCTTGCCACCAAGACCACAGAGATGGGAACAGGGTGCCGAAAGGAGAGTGAGAGGGGAGGGGGTGTACCTCAAAAGTAAAGGGGTACGCCTGCTCCCCTAGCTTCTTCACCAGCCGTTCCTGCAGCCTCGTCAGCGGCTTCTTCTCTTCGGCCACTGGAGGGAAAGCCTGGACGTTGGACACGAAGAGGTCTTTGCGAAAGGTCAGGCCCAGGACGTCCAGATCCTCGCGGCCGTAGCGGAAAGCGCAGGTCAGCGTCACGAAAACTGCCGGGAGAAACGGAGAGGCCTCAATCAAAGGCTGTGGTCCCGGGCTGGGAAGGAGCCCTGTCGGAATTCGATTCCAGCACCCAAAAGTGGGTAAACACCTAAGTTAAAAGAAAAAAAGGCACGCAACATCTGGCCTAGGAAAAGGGCCTCCTTGGTGGTGGCTCCCTGCCTTTGCAACAGCGTTCCTCGGAGATGAGATAGGCCCCACCTCGTTGCTTTTGGCCTCGAAGACATGCTTTTATCCACGGGCCCTGGGACTCCCTTCGTGGCGGAAGGCCACGGAGGATGGACTTTGTAATACTTGCAATATGGGTTTTTGTAGGACGGTGGCACTAGCTAACTAACAAGGGGTTTGCTTGTATTTTAAATTTGCTTTTTCAAACGTATTGCTCATAACTGGCCAGAACCTTCCAGAAAAGTCTCCCTTCCAGAAACCAGGACTGGAGGAGAGCATTTGATATATTATCGATCCTGGACATAAACTATATCAACTTCTTCCCTTCAGACAAAGCTATAGGGCAGGGGGTCTTCAAACTTGGCCCTTTGATGACTTGCGGACTTCAACTCCCTGAATTCCTCAGCCAGCATGGGGGAAACTATGGCCCCTTCATGACTTGCGGACTTCAACTCCCAGAATTCCTGAGCCAGCATGAAGGAAATTATGGCCGCTTCATGACTTGTGGACTTCAACTCCCAGAATTCCTGAGTCAGTATGGGGAAACTATGGCCCCTTCATGACTTGCGGACTTCAGCTCCCAGAATTCCTCAGCCAGCATGGGGGAAACTATGGCCCCTTCATAACTTGTGGACTTCAACTCCCAGAATTCCTCAGCCAGCATAGGGGAACTATGGCCGCTTCATGACTTGCGGACTTCAACTCCCAGAATTCCTGAGCCACGTACCCCCTTTGAAACCGGGGAACATGACTTGTGGACTTCAACTCCCAGAATTCCTGAGCCAGCATGGGGGAAACTATGGCCCCTTCATGACTTGTGGACTTCAACTCCCAGAATTCCTGAGCCAGCATGGGGGAAACTATGGCCCCTTCATGACTTGTGGACTTCAACTCCCAGAATTCCTGAGCCAGCATGGGGGAACTATGGCCCCTTCATGACTTGGGGACTTCAACTCCCAGAATTCCTCAGCCAGTATGGGAGAACTATGGCCCCTTCATGACTTGTGGACTTCAACTCCCAGAATTCCTCTGGGAGTTGAAGTCCACAAGTCATCAAAGGGCCAAGTTTGAAGACCCCTGTTCTACTTGGTTTCTCATTGGAAAAAGTAAGGCGAGGCAGATCCCCGGGCGAAATTTGGCTATCGGAGAAAATCGTGTGACTTTTTTGATTTTGTGGCCAACATCCTGTGATGGGGGTGAGTGAGTTTTAAATGGTGAATTTAAAACTGGGCTTTTTAACATGGCACGCCTCCTGGAGGCGTTGTGTGTGTGTGTTTGTGTGTGAGTTGGGAGGCTAGATAAATTGGTTTAAGAAGAAATCGTAATTTTACCTTTCCGCTCTTTTAAGTATTCTGGATCCACCAAGACAACGCCATCTGCAGAAAGAACGGGCCGAAAATGAGAGCGAATTGGACCGGTTGGGTCTGCCCATCATGGGTGCGTGCATTAACCAGGTTTGCTGCAGAACATGTTAGGATACACAGCCAAGGCTTCCAGCGTTATTATCCGAGGACAGGAAAGGATTAACCCCCCTTAATCCAAAGGGGGGATCATGATCACTTGACCGATCTCGGTTACTTTATGGGAGGGGACTTCAAACTTGGCCACTTTAAGACTGGTGGACTTCAACTCCCAGAATTCCTCAGCCAGCCAAATTGGGCCGCTTTAAGACTGGTGGACTTCAACTCCCAGAATTCCCCAGCCAGCCAAACTTGGACACTTTAAGACTGGTGGACTTCAACTCCCAGAATGCCTCAGCCGGCCAAACTTGGCCACTTTAACTGATGGGCTTCAACTCCCAGAATTCCTCAGCCAGCGAAACTGGGCCACTTTAAGACTGGTGGACTTCAACTCCCAGAATGCCTCAGCTGGCCAAACTGGGCCGCTTTAAGACTGGTGGACTCCTACTCCCAGGATTCCTCACAGCCAAACTGGGCCGCTTTAAGACTGGTGGACTTCAACTCCCAGAATTCCTCAGCCAGCCATGCTGGCTGAGGAATTCTGGGAGTTGAAGTCCACCAGTCTTAAAGCGGCCCAGTTTGGACACCCCTGCTTTATGGAGTCCTGACAGCTCCACTTACCGACTGGATCCACGAGGTCAATGTGGTCGACAAAATCTCTCTTGCCCAGGTAAACGGTGAGCTGCCAGGAGACAAAAGGACAGAGAAGTCATTTTGGCAAGACCTGAGGGAGACGTCGTCTGTCTATCAGGAGCCGAGGAACATCATCATTAAAAAAAGATTTAATGTGAGTTTCTGCTCCCTTTCCCCCCCCCTCTCTCCTATCTATTCATCCGAGAAGAGATTGGACTAGCCACTGACTGAGATGGAGTTTCCTGCTTGATCAGGGGGTTGGACTAGATGACCCTCAAGGTCTCTTCCAACCCTAGTTATTTTGTGACTCTGTAGGGATCTCCTGCTTGAGGAAGGGGTTGGACTAGAAGACCTCCAAGGTCCCTTCCAACTCGGTTATTCTGCTATTCTGTTGTCCGTCTGTCTATCTATCTACCTATCTAACATCTAGCTACCAATCAACCTATCATCTATCATTTCTGTCTCTCATCTATCAATTATCTACTTACCAACCAACAAACCAATCTCTCTCATCTGTCTCTCTTTTCTGTCTAATCTCTCTCTATACATATATCTATTGTCTATCTCTGTATATCTATGTATGTGTCTGTCTGTGTTTATCTACAGTATCTATCTATCTATCTATCTATCTATCTATCTATCTATCTATCTATCTATCTATCTATCTATCTATCTATCCATCCATCCATCCATCCATCCATCCATCCATCCATCCATCCATCCATCCATCATCTGTCTGTCTGTATCTATCATCCATCTATCCATCCATCCATCCATCCATCCATCCATTATCTGTCTGTCTGTCCGTCCGTCCGTCCGTCCGTCCGTCTGTCTGTCTATCTATCTATCTATCTATCTATCTATCTATCTATCTATCTATCTATCTATCTTTCATCCATCCTTCCATCTATCCATCCTTCCTTCCATCCATTATCGATCTACCTGTCTGTCTCTGTATCTATCATCCATCCTTACATTATCTATCTATCTACCGGTATCTATCTATCTACCGGTATCTATCTATCTATCTATCTATCTATCTATCTATCTATCTATCTATCTATCTATCTATCTATCTATCTATCTATATCTATCTATCTATCTATCTATCTATCTATCTATCTATCTATCTATCTATCTATCTATCTATCTATCTATCTCTAATCTAGTTATCTAATTATCTATCTATCCATCCATTCATCATCATCTATCTATCTGTCTGTCTTTCTGTCCATCCATCCATCCATCATCTATCTATCTATCTGTCTGTCTTTCTGTACATCCATCCATCCATTATTATCTATCTATCTATCTATCTATCTATCTATCTATCTATCTATCTATCTATCTATCTATCTATCTATCTATCTATCTATCTATCTCTAATCTAGTTATCTAATTATCTATTTATCCATCCATTCATCATCATCTATCTGTCTGTGTCTTTGTCCATCCATCATCTATCTATCTATCTATCTATCTATCTATCTATCTATCTATCTATCTATCTATCTATCTATCTATCTATCTATCTATCTATCTATCTCTAATCTAATTATCTAATTATCTATCCATCCATCCATTATTTATTATCTATCCTTCCCTCCCACCCTCCCTCCCTCTCTCTCTCTCCCATCTATTAAATTTCTGTGCTGCTCATCTTACTGATACCACACTACATCTTCGCTTCTTAACCTTTCTGACTGCTCCAGCTGGCTGCTGGAATCTGATTTAGCTTCTAATCCAGTTTACGTCCTCGTGGCTCTCTTTCCCTGCCAGGGTCGGAGGGAGTGTTATTTCCTCCATCAGGCTGCTGTTCGCTGTCTCCTTGTTTGTCTCTGCTGGGGTGTGTGTGAGGGTCCGGCTGAGTTGGACCCCAACATTCAACCCTGCGCTACGCACATTCCCTGCGATCTTCTCTGATCAGCTGACAAAACCAGAGTCCTCCCAGGAGAGAAAAAGAGAAAATGTTTTCAAAGGATTTTCAAAGGATTTGCTGGCTGCTGAGAAAAGCAGACCCAGAGGGCCCTGAATGAAAAAGCCTGCTTTTTTCACATTTATTCTGCCTTTTTATGTCAGCTGCAAACTAGGAAACGGAACACTTTTTCAGTTTGGGAACGGTTATTATTCCTATCACTGAATATATTTTATTCTGTTCCCGATACAAATGTCTCTGGAAGTGCTTTCCCCTCTCCCAAAACTAATAAAAGAGCACATCATAAAAGCAGGGAATTAAAAACAATATAAAACCAGACTGTAATAAAGAGGAAGAGGGGATGGGGGGGAAAAAGAAAAAATAGAAATAAAAAAACAACAACTATGAAGAGAAGGACGAGGGGGGACATGATAGCAGCCTTCCAATAGGGGCTGCCCCAAAGAAGAGGGAGTCAAGCTACTCTCCAAGGCGCCTGAAGGCAGGACAAGAAGCAACGGGTGGAAACTGATCAAGGAGAGAAGCAACCTAGAACTAAGGAGAAACTTCCTGACAGTCAGAACAATTTAACCAGTGGAACAACCTGCCTCCAGAAGTCGTGGATGCTCCATTAACTGGAGGTTTTCAAGAAGAGACTGGACAACCGTTTGACTGGGATGGAAGAAGGGATCTTATCTTGGGAAGGCGGTCTGACTAGATGACCTCTGAGGTCCCTTCCAGCCCTATGATTTTATGTGAGTCCTGGGGGTCCGTGCAGAAATGTGGAAGCTGCAAGCAGAATTTCCTGCTTCTTTTATTTGCTGATTAAGTTTACACGCTGCACAATGAGTCTGGGTGGCTTAAAATTAAAACTGCCAATATTAAAATAAGAACAGCACTGGGGTCTCCCGCTTGAGCGGGGGGCTGGACTAGAAGACCTCCAGGGTCCCTTTCCAACTCTGTTATTCTTAGGAACAAAAACAAGGGCCCAAAGGCAAGAACACTACGGGGGTGACAACTTCCCTCTTAGTCCATTAATGGTGGTTTCCTTTATCTCTCTCTCTCTCTCTCTCTCTCTCTCTCTCTCTCTCTCTGTCTCTCTCCGTCACCTTCCCTCTTAGTCCATTAATGGTGGTTTCCTTAATCTATCTATCTATCTATCTATCTATCTATCTATCTATCTATCTATCTATCTATCTATCTATCTATCTATCTATCTATCTATCTATCTAATCTCTCTCTCTCTCTCTCTCTGTCTGTCTCTCTCCGTCACCTTCCCTCTTAGTCCATTAATGGTGGTTTCCTTAATCAATCAATCTATCTATCTATCTATCTATCTATCTATCTATCTATCTATCTATCTATCTATCTATCTATCTATCTATCTATCTATCTATCTATCTAATCTATCTAATCTATCTATCTATCTATCTATCTATCTATCTATCTATCTATCTATCTATCTATCTATCTATCTATCTCTGTCACCTTCCCTCTTAGTCCATTAATGGTGGTTTCCTTAATCTCTCCCTCTCTCTCTCTCTCTCTCTCTCTCTCTCTCTCTCTTTCTCTCTCCTTCCCTCTTAGTCCATTAATGGTGGTTTCCCCCCCTCTCTCTCTCGGGTTGCTCGTACCTGGCTTCCTCCCCACCTGGGCCGAATCGTGGTTTATGAGCTCAGCTTTCCACAGACTGGCTTTTCATCTCTGCATTATTTTTAGCTACCCTTCCGTCCTTTTCTTTCCTCCGGCAGCTTCCTCGCCAACTCTGACACCGAGGGAGACTTTTGGTTCCCATGGAAAACGGAGGAGCTGAAATGGAAAACAAGGACACCCGCCTTGCGATGTTTACCACAGGCCTTCTCCTGGCCTTGACCGTGGTCAAGATGACTCATAAGCCTCTATTCAGAGTGCCAGGTGGGGCTTACGGGCATCGGCTGAGGCACCAGAAGCTGACTTAGCAACACAATGGCTGGCTGGCACTTAAGACCAGCAGGGATACTGCTCCCCCCGTCAAGGAGAGCTGGCGGAGGAAGCAATTCCTTGCTGTCTTAACGGAAGAACAGAGTCGGAAGGGACCTCGGAGGTCTTCTAGTCCAACCCCCTGCTCAAGCAGGAGACACGGAATAGAGCAGAGCAGAACAGAACAGAAAATAGAATAGAGTAACAAAGCTGGAAGGGACCTTGGAGGTCATCTAGTCCAACCCCCTGCTCAAGCAGGAAACCCTAGACCAGTGTTTCTCAACCGTGACAATTTTAAGGCATGTGGACTTCAACTCCCAGAATTCCACAGCCAGCAATGCTGGCTGTGGAATTCTGGGAGTTGAAGTCCACATGCCTTAAAATTGTCAAGGTTGAGAAACACTGCCCTAGACCATTCCAGTCAAACGGTTGTCCAGTCTCTTCTTGGAAACCTCCAGTGTTGGCGCATTCACAGCTTCTGGTGGCAAGTTGTTCCACTGGTTAATTGTTCTCACTGTCAGGAGGTTTCTCCTTGGTTCCGGGTTGCTTCTCTCCTTGATGAGTTTCCATCCGTTGCTTCCTGTCCTGCCTTCAGGGGCTTTGGAGAATAGAATAACAGAGTTGGAAGGAACCTTGGAGGTCATCTAGTCCAACCCCCTACTCAAGCAGGAAACCCTATTCCGTGTCAGACAAATGGTTGTCCAATCTCTTCTTAAAAACTTCCAGTGTTGGAGCATTCACCACTTCCGGAGGCAGTTGATTAATTGTCCTCACCGTCAGGAATTTTGGAGGGCCCTGATTTAAAGTGTTGCAACTGGATTAGAGTTTCCATTTTTTTCTCTCTTCTTCTTCTCCTTTCGTTAAGTGCCTCCCCATCGACAGATTATCCGGCCTGCCAGTTTCCATCATGACCAAATCTTGCAAAACGAATCAAGAGGTCTCTTACCTTGGCATTGGGGCTGGCTTTCTTGAACACTCTGCAAAAGAAAAGGATGAAAACGAAGTGAATTGGACAGGATGTATCTCGGTCTGAATTCAAAAGCTGTTACCCGCCACGTCAGGACCCCCGATTGCCCCCCCAGGCGAGAAATCCTATGCGCCCATTTATTTCATTAATTTATTACACAAAATGTACCTGCTGCCCAAATCATACTTAGATGCTCCAAGAGGCTTACACTATTAAAAATCCACAATACAGGTAAGTCCTCAACTTACGACAATTAAGCCCAATATTTCTGTCGCTATGTGAGACAGTTGTTCAGTGAGTTTTGCAACCTTTCTATGACCTTTCTGGCCGTCGTCGTTAAGCGAATCATTGCCGTTGCGAAGTTAGCCACACGGTTGTTAAGTGAACCGGGCTTCTCCCATTGACATGGCTGGTCAGAAGGTCGTAAAAAAGGGGATCGCGTGAACCTGGGACACTGCGACCGTCATAAATATGAGTCAGTTGCCAAGCGTCTGAATTTTGATCACGTGACCCCGGGGATGCTGCAACGGTCGTAAGCGTGAAAAAATCGTCATAAGTCCCTTTTCTCAGTGCTGGGATAACTTTGAACCATCACTAAAACGAACTGTTGTAAATCAAGGACAGAAGAACAGAGTTGGAAGGGACTTGTGGAGGTCATCTAGTCTAACCCTGTGTTCAAGCAGGAGACCCTATATCATTTCAGACAAGTGGCTGTCCAGTCTCTTCTTAGAAACCTCCAGTGATGGAGCACCCACAACTTCTGGAGGCAAAGAGTTCCACTGGTTTAGTTCTAGACTAATTCTCGTCTGGATTAGAATAGCAGAATAACAGAATAGCAGAATAGCAGAATAATACTAAAACGTATGAAGAACTGCTGCGGGACTTGGGTTTGGCTAGTCTAAAGAAAAAAAGAAATAGGGGAGACATGATAGCAGTCTTCCAGTATCTGAGGGGCTGCCACAAAGAAGAGGAGGGGGTCACATTATTCTCCAAAGCACCAGAGGGAAGGATGAGAAACAATGGTTGGAAACTCATCAAAGAGAGAAGCAACCTGGAATTAAGAAGAAACTTATTGAGAGTGAGGACAATTAACCAGTGGAACAGCTTGCCACCAGAAATCGTGGGCGCTCCATCCCTGGAGGTTTTTAAGAAGAAGCTGGAGACATTCACCTGTCTGAGATGGCATAGGTTCTCCTGCTTGAGTGGGGGGCTGGACTAGAAGACCTCCAAGGTCCCTTCCAGCTCTGATATTCTACTATCCTTCCTTCCTTCCTTCCTTCCTTCCTTCCTTCCTTCCTTCCTTCCTTCCTTCCTTCCTTCTATTCTATTCTATTCTATTCTATTCTATTCTATTCTATTCTATTCTATTCTATTCTATTCTATTTATTCTATCCCATCCGATCCTATTCCAGATAAAAGGCTGTCCAGCCTCTTCTTAAAAACCTCCAACGATGGAGCACCCACAACCTCTGGAGGGAAGCAATTCCACTCCTTTAATTGTCCTCGCTGTCAAAAAAATTTTCCACAGCATTCTCAGAGAGAAACACTGGCCCATGTTGCACAGCCCATTTGGCCTGGATTCAGCATTTTTGTACTTCCAAGCCTCTGCCAGAGCTTGCGAGGAAGCAAAATTGACTCCGGCTTCTCCAAAATGGAACAAAAGAAAACAATGCAGCAAAGTGCATGTCCATTAAATAAAAGAATAATAAGAAAAAATTATTAAAAATTAATTCCTACAACGGATGTAGAAAAGAAGCTGTAATGCGTTTTTTGGGGGGATCTTAATTTTTGTAGTTTAACAAAGAGAAGGACCAGGGGTGACATGATAGCGGTCTTCCCATATTTGAGGGGCTGCCAAAAAAAAGAGGAAGGGGGTCACCCTATTTTCCAAAATCACCAGAAGGCAAGATAAGAAGCAACGGATGGAAAATAATCAAAGAGAGAAGAAGCAATCTGGAATTAAGGAGAAATTTCCTCACAGTTAGAACAATTAACCAGTGGAACTCCTTGCCACCAGAAGTTGTGGGTGCTCCATCACTGGAGGTTTTTAACAAGAGACAGGACAGCCATTTGTCTGGAATGGTATAGGGCAGGGGTAGGCAACCTTAGCCCCTTCATGACTCATGGACTTCAACTCCCAGAATTCCTCAGCCAGCATGGGGGAACTTTGGCCCCTTCATGACTCATGGACTTCAACTCCCAGAATTCCTCAGCCAGCATGGGGGAACTTTGGCCCCTTCATGACTCGTGGACTTCAACTCCCAGAATTCCTCAGCCAGCATGGGGGAAACTTTGGCCCCCTCATGACTTCTGAACTTCAACTCCCAGAATTCCTCAGCCAGCATGGCTCAGCTTGGAAACCTCTCCCTTTCCCCTCAGCATGGCTGGCTCAGGAATTCTGGGAGTTGAAGTCCACGAGTCGTAAGAGCTCAGATTGCCTACCCCTGGTATAGGGTCTCCTGCCTGAGCAGGGGGTTGGACTAGATGACCTCCAAGGTCCCTTCCAACTCTGCTATTCTGTTATTCTGTTAATTTCTGGCACTAATAGGGATTTCTACTACGGGAAGTGAAGATCCCGTTTTGAAATTGTGATCCTGGTGAACCAACTCCTTGTGTTTACACAACCTGTTTTCACTCTCAGCCCAGCTGAACAAAATCTATGTGGCTCCCACCCCGATGAGGTTCCAAAAGGGCTTAAAAATGTGCCAATTTGGGGAAAATTGAGTTCCCTTCTTTACAGGAAACACTATATAGAAGTTTTTAATTCCCCCCACCCCTTTTTCTTTCTTTTTTCTTCTTTTGCTTTGCTTTGCTTTCCTTTCTCTGCTAAATACTGTAAAATCGGTCGTACGTTGAGGCGCTGCTGTAGTTTACAATCCTACGTCGGGGCTGATTACACTATATTTATTTATATGTTACTTCTAATAAACGGACAGTGATTTATAAGTTCCTGGAAAAGAGACTTGTTGTTAATGCATCTGCTCATTAACATTCCTGCCGTTCTTAAAAACAGCTCCAAAGCTTTTTTTTCCCAGGAAAAATGAAAAAAAGCTGGGTTTTTCTTCAAAAACAGGAGATAAATTCTCCCACGGCTCTTTCCAAGCCCTCAACAGCGGCATCGGAGCAGCACCAAGGCGCTGATTTAAGCAGTCCTCAAGTTACGACCGGCATGGAGTCTGGTTGTCAATGTCGTAAACTTGCGACGGCCGTAAATCGAGTCGCCCACGTGACCAACCGAACACTGCTACCTTTTTTGGGTTTCGCAGCGGTCGTTAAGTGAACGCCACAGTCGTTAAGCGAGCCGGTGGCTCGCTATGGGAACGGTTTCGGCAAAAAACCTCCCCCAGAAATGAATATCAATTTTCAGTAAAATGGGGTCGCATAACCGCAGGAAAAGTGGAACCGTGGCAAGAAAGGTCATAAAGTGGGACAAAACTCACTTAACAACTGTCTCATGTAGCAATGGAAATTTTAGGCTCAGCTGTGGTCATAAGTGGAGGACCACGTGTAACAGAGTTGGAAGGGACCCTGGAGGTCTTCTAGTCCAACCCCCCGCTCAAGCAGGAGAACCTGTTCCATTCTGGATAAATGGCTGTCCAATTTCTTCTTGAAAATGTCCAGTGATGGAGAGGAAGGGAGGAAGGAAGGAAGGAAGGAAGGAAGGAAGGAAGGAAGGAAGGAAGGAAGGAAGGAAGGAAGGAAGGAAAAAAGAATAGCAGAATAACAGAGGTGGAAGGGACCTTGGAGGTCATCTAGTCCAGCCCCCTGCTCAAGCAGGAGAACCTATGGCATTTCAGACAAGTGGCTGTCCAGTCTCTTCTTAAAAGCCTCCAATGATGGAGGAGGAAGGAAGGAAGGAAGGAAGAAAGAAAGGAGAGAAGGAAGGATGGAAGGAAGGAAGGAGGTAGGGAAGGAAGGAAGGAGAGAATGGGAGAAGGAAGGAAGGAAGAAAGGAAGGAAGGAAGAATAGCAGAATAACAGAGATAGAAGGGACCTTGGAGGTCTTCTAGTCCAGCCCCCTGCTCAAGCAGGAGAACCTATACCATCTCAGACAAGTGGCTGTCCAGTCTCTTCTTAAAAGCCTCCAGTGATGGAGGAGGAAGGAAGGAGAGAAGGAAGAAAAAAAGGAGAGAAGGAAGGGTGGATGGAAGGAAGGAGGTAGGGAAGGAAGGAAGGAAGGAAGGAAAAAAGAAAAGCAGAATAACAGAGCTGGAAGGGACCTCAGAGTTCTTCAAGTCCAACCCCCCCAGCCCCCTCCCCCACTCAAGCAGGAGACCCTATACCAGGGGTAGACAACCTTGGCTCTTTTATGACTTCGTGGACTTCCAGAATTCCTGCGTCAGCCATGCTGGCTCAGGAATTCTGGGAGTTGAAGTCCACGAGTCATAAAAGAGCCACGGTTGCCCACCCCTGCCCTAGACATTCCAAGCAGAAGGCTGTCCATCCAGCCTCTTCTTAAAAACCTCCGGTCTTCGCAAAGCCCCTTGGAAATCAAGGAAAGAGGGGAGGAGGGCGGCGGGGGGGGGGAGGAAGCTGCAGAAATTAAACCCCCCCCTCCCCAACCCAGCCATCTACCCAGACCCAAGTCAGCCCCCTCCCCTTTCTGTGCCCCCCCCTCTGCTTTGCACCAAAGCTAAAACAAACCCCTCCTCTCCCACCCAAGAGAGCAGCAGATGCCCCATTCCCACCGAGGTTGGCGGGGAGGAGAGAGGGGGGGTCCCATTGCCATGGCAACAGAAGGGTAATGAAGACTGCCCGCCTGGGGGGGGTACCACCGGCTTACGGCACGGGCGGCTTGCCTTCCTTTTATGGGCTCCCCACCCTCCTGCGGGGGGCAGAAAAATGGGTCAGGGGGCCCATGGAGTTGCGGTGGCCGGAGCTGCACCTGTGGTGCATCAGCCTGCAATCCTGCGACATTTGGAGAGGGAGGGTGGGAGGGAGGGAGAGGGAGGAAGGGAGAAAAGAAATGGGGGTTCAGACCGCTTCTGCTGGGGGGGGGGCACGAGAAAT